CGTCAGCCTCTCTGCTCCTATGATGCTGCTTGGCCTGCTGTGTTCATCCAGCCCTGCACCTTGTTGTCTCTGTTATTTATATGTCCTGGTTTGCTGGGGTGGTTGGCATCACTTCTGGTTCTGTTTTTCAGTGGTTTGTATATTGGGTCCAGTTCAATGTGTTTGTTGATGGAGTTCCGGTTGGAATGCCAGGCCTCCAGGAATTCCCTGGCATATCTCTGTTTGGTTTGTGCTATTATGGATGTGTTGTCCCAGTCGAATTCGTGTCCTTCTTTGTCCATGTGTATTGAGACCAGTGAGGGTTGGTCGTGTTTCATGGTGGCTAGCTGGTGTTTGTGTATCCTTATTGTCAGTTTTCTTCCAGTTTGGCCTATGTAATGTTTCTCACAGTCCTTGCATGTTATTTTGTATATTAGTTTTACTGGTTTTAGGTATGGGATCCTTTACGTTCGTCATTAGCTGTCACATGAACTGCTACATGAACACAGACATGACCCGTTCTCACTGGTCTCAATACACACAAACAAAGAAGGACACAAATTGGACTGGGACAACACACCCATAATCACACAAGCCAAACAGAGATATGCCAGGGAATTCCTGGAGGCCTGGCATTCCAACTGGAACTCCATCAACAAACACATTGAACTGGACCTAATATACAAACCACTGAATAATAGAACCAGAAATGATGCCAACCACCCCAGCAAACCAGGACATAAAAATAACAAGCGAGGCAGAACACCAACGCTTCACCAAAGGTGCACTGACAACGTTACCTAGCAGGGTGACGAAACGTCTGCAGTTAAACACACTGGCTTGATGAGCAAGTCTACAACCTCATTCACAACCTGAGCTACAAATCTTCTCAAACACTTTTGACCCTGTGAGTTGTCAACAGTACGAATGCTGGTCTTTATGGGTACGCAGCACTATCTAATCAAATCTTTTTGGCCAAGGCTAATTGGATCAGTCAGTCCCTCAAGCCAATTCTGCCATTTAATTAGATACTGATTGATCCATCTTAACTCAATCTACTTGTCTTGATTATCCTGTTGCCACATTCTGATGAGATGTGTTAGAATCGTGATATAGCATTTTAAGCTTTGAAGAAGACCCAGTTATCTCAAATCTTTCATACAAAGATAGATGGAGTTGAGAGTGAGCAACAGCAGCTGATTACATTTAAAATATCTGGAACATTGATTCCCCCCACTTTTATATATTTTCATAGTTTTATTTGGCTCTTCAGTTTTAATTAGATTTTGATCCTGCTTGCCACAAGTTGTTTGCTACATCATATGCCTGTTCGGTCACATTTGGTTTATATATATATCGTTTTGACCTATCAGTGTGACATATGTTCCAAATATTTTAGGCAAAAATAGACAGCTCTTGTGGTGTGGTGGTAGTATCCCTACCTCTGGACCAGGAAGCCTAGTCAAGTCCCAACTGCTGCAGAGGTGTGTAATAACATCTCTGAACAGGTGGATTAGGAAACGTCTATAAATCAAGACAGGTAGATTGAATTAAAATACAGATTTGTCTGGATCTAATGGAATGGCAGAAAAGGTTCACTTGCTCCTGTTCTAATGTTTCTTTGAGAGTGTAATCGTGAATTACAACTGTCATTAATGTATGGTAATCCCACATCTTTCTTAATCATAGTCATAGTTCTTACTTAAAATGAGTAATTCCAGTTTGCATGATACGTAGTTTCATGCTGATCAGGAAATGGATTGTAATGTGGAACACAAAACTGAAACACTAGTTTAAAAAAATAATGGTCTTATCAGTAATCAGTAGGGTGGCACAGTGGGTCAGGATTAGCACTTGCCTCACAGCGACAGGGACCCAGTTTTGTTTCTAGCCTAGGATGATTATGTGGAGTTTGCACATTCTCCCCGTGTCTGTATGGGTTTCTTTTTCTTTATTCATTCACGGGATGAGGGCATTGCTGGCTAGGCGGCATTTATTGCCCATCCCTAGTTACCCAGAGGGCAGTTAAGAGTCAACCACATTGTTTGGGGTCTGGAGTCACATGTAGGCCAGATCAGGTAAGGATGGCAGTTTCCTTCCCTTAAGGACATTAGTGATCCAGATGCGTTTTTCCTGACAATCGACAATGGATTCACGGTTAACATTAGATTCTTAATTCCTGATATTTTATTGAATTCAAATTCCACCATCTGCCGTCATGGGATTCGAACCCGGGTCCCCGGGATGTTGTCTAGGTCTCTGAATTAGCAGTCCAGCCATAATACCGCTAGACCATCACCTCCCCCATGTTTTCCTCCGGGTGCTCCGGTTTCCTCCCACTTCTTCTGTCCAAAGATGTGCAGGTTAGGTGTATTTGCTGTGGGAAATGCAGGTTACAAGGAGAGGGTTGGGGGGTTGGGTCTGGGTGGGATGCTCTTCGAAGGGTGGACTTGATGGGCCAGATGGCCTGCTTCCACACTGTAGGGATTCTCTGATTTTATGATTCAGTAATGTAAACAGAACAAGATAACATCAAGCCAATGCTTCTCATGTTTTTCTACTCAATCCATTTTTTAAATGATTCGTTTAAAATCACCATTATTCTTTTAAAAAATGCTATTGTTGAAAAATCAAGTCTGTTTTTGTGTTGAGTTCTGAATCTTTTGGTATATGTGTATGGATGAAGTGCAAAAGATGGCACTGGTTAAAAAGTCACAGTTATCGGTTTTACAATAAAAATTTGTTCCCCATACTGAAGCAAAGTTTTCATCCGATGACTAAGCCAATTAGATCCAGTAGGTCTATTTGGCTCCTCGAGCCCATTCTGCCATTCCACTAAATCATGACAGATCTGATTGTGACTTCAACTCAACTTTCCCATCCCCATAACCCTAGACTCCCTGGCTAATCATAAATCTGTCCAATTCAACCCTCAATGCTTTCAATGAACCAACCTCTTCTGCTGTCTTCTGGAGAAGAGAATTCACCCAGACTAGCAACTTTCAAGAGAGAAAAATAAATCTCGTTGGTCTTAAATGGGAGATTCCATAAAGATCACCTCTCAATCTTCTATTCTACAATGGGTATAGAACCAACCTCCTAAATGCAAAATTCCAAGGTTTGACTGCTAGTCTGCAGGAGATGATCTGAATTGAATTAGCCTCTGTATTCATAAGTTATCCAGTGGAAAAAGAAATCATTCAAGATTCCCATGCTTGGTTACAATGCAGTTTGAAGAATGTATGGGTGAAGGTCAATAGAGAGCAGCATTGTACACTGTGAATTCTAACCAGTCAAAGAATAGGTGTCTGCACAAGACACTGGAAAGGTGGCTTGTTTATTGTAGAATTACTTGCCCAGTACGAAAACAACATCTTCAAGTGCAAAGGGGAGAAAAATAGAAAGGAGTCAGAAAGGGACCCTGACTTAGTAGGAGCAAGTGTTGCAACTTCTGATGATAAAAAATCCACTCAAGTAATTTTCTTATGCTAAAACTTTGACCTACAGTATTATTGTACAAGCTGTAGTAGATCAATTTTTCAACTTTGATTCTTGCCATTATTTTAAGTGGAGCTTTTTCTGGTTGTCAAACCATTAATTCATTTACGTTTGGATGCCCTGCCTGCATCCAATGCATGGGCTAAAGCTGTAGTTAGTCTTTAAGAGGATAGGGCTGAGTCTGGCAAACACTTACTAAAACATGATTTATAACTTGGCTTTACTAAACCAAAAATACTCAATCAAGATACTTGTGCCAATTTGGTTTGAAGGCCCCCCTGCCCTCCCACGGAGATCATAGAAACTTCGGAGAAGAGAAATGTAGTAATTATCAGTCAAGTTATTTTTCAATATGGAGTGCTCTGTGTAATACAGATAACAACACACTTCATTAATGTTTGCAATCTTCTCCCTCAGCCCCAAGAATTCAAGATGAAACAAGTCCTGACCTGGCTTTTCATGTCAAGGACATTAGCTTCCCTTGAATGTTAGGAATCAAGTTTACTATTAACAGAGGATAAGATTGAGTACTGTATGTTTCACTTTAGCTAATGATGTAGCAGTATTACATTATGAAAGTGCATCTGATGCATTTGGAAATTGTCCAGGATCAATGACAAAATATGGGCAGAGCAGTCACTCTGATGTCAAGCCACCTAAGTTGGTATTGGGTCAGCATCTGCCATGGTCACTGAATCCAGGACATTGAGATTTTCTGTTCAGCAGAATGTTGTAATGCAATTAGATGGTGGAGGTGAGAACACAAAAGATATACAATGCTGGACTCAACTGACAATGTATTTGAAGCTCTGATATCGGAAGATGGTAGAGAGATTTGAAAAGATAGAAGTTAAAATGATGAAGTTAAATGAAACTTTAACTGGCCCCAGTTCCACAGAAACCAGAAACAAAGCTGAATTTCTAGTTAGATGAATTTCCAGTTGAGTGTTATTTTGTTCAAATATGATGTTTCTGCCAATTTGTTTCTGAAGAGTTAAAATGTAAGATACGCAGTTTTTCCCAGCATATCTCAACACAGCTTACAGATGTTTCGGCTGCTTTCAAAAATGCTGCCTTATAAGAATCCACTTTAGAATCAAGGTGTGCAAGGAACCATTTACCTCTTTGTGACTCATCAGTGCAGTTCTGAACTTGCGCTGTGCCCATTTTACATCACCATCCAATCAAGTGTTTTGCTTCATTCAAACATTTTAGCTTCCACCCAGTTCACGAATTGGTGACATGCACTCAAACACAGAAGTCCTCGAATCATAGTCAAGGACAAATTACATGGTCAAGAGTCCAAAGCTCGGGGATCCAGGGGCAGCTTAGTTTAATGATTTACTGACAGCATTATGTTTTAAATATCTTGCTTTTTTTGTGGCTAGCACAAAATAGCTGAGATTAGAATTCAACGTACATGCAACTGTAGCATGGTCACATCTTGTGCAATAATATAAATATATGTGTGATATGGTCAGTTAAAAATGACAAGCTGCAATTCTGTAGGTTAGCAATAGAAACCTTTTGCAGAACATAAACTTCACTATTAGTAAAAGTTTTTATCATCAGTGTTGACTGGTACATGATCCATTGTCGGGTGATTTACTTCCATTGAAAATCCCATCCACTATTACAGTCATGAGCTTGCTTTTCTTCTTTTGGAAATGGTGGGGTGGGGCAGAGTAAAGGAGCGCTTTATATGTTGGATTGGTAATAATTTACACATTGTGCTCTTTTGTTTCCTCTTTTTGACATTAATTGAAAAATTGCTTGTGTTATAATCAGAAAAGTTAGTTTGTCTGAAAATTGTGAGTAATGGAACCACGTTAAGATGTTATATTCAATAGTAATGTACATTTATAATGGTGCCCTTATTGTAAAACAATGCTGATACCAAGGAACATAGGGATATTAGGACTGATTATCTGACATAATCAGATAGATAATGAAAAATTTGGTCATAGAAGGAGACTTTAAATAGTGTTCAGAGGAAAATAGAGGACAACAGAGAGAATTTCAGAGCCTGTGGCCTCAGCAGTGAAGACATGACCGACAATAGGTGGTACAATGAAAAGCAGGTATGAAGATGACAGAATCGAAGACTGGAAAATGACTCCATAAATGTCAGTGGACTAAACTGGAAAGGTGCACTCAAATGATCTTCAGACAATAGCTGTATCTTCATATAGCTTGGTGATTAGAGTATTACACGTTCAGTAATAACAATGCCCCAGAGAATAAATAATGATGGACACATTCATTATTAATCATACTGAAATATAATATCAGAAATATAAATCTATTGCAGCATTTTTCTCTGGATGAATGCAAGTACAGTATAAGAAAAAAAAATCATATTTACACAATAAAATGTTTAAAATAAACCCTGTTATACAGAACAACTGCTTTTACATTGGGAGGCCAAGAAAACAAAGGATTAATTCCCACTTCTCCATTGTATATACACATTGGCCATTGTACATATGGGAATTAAACTGTATTCTATCAATCAGCTTTCACACAAGACTTTATCCATCCTACTGAATATTACACAGATAGGCTGATGTAATGTTGCACACACATACGTACAGTTATCGGTCATTGTATAAAACACTCATTTGTTCGTACAGTAAACATTGAATTTGAAATCTGAAGCAAATTAACTAAAAAAAAAGTTGCCACAAAGCACTGACTCCAAAGCGTAGCTCAATACCCCATGTAAAAACACTAGGACAACTGCTGTATTACATAATGCCAATAAAGCTCAAAGGCTGTATTAAAATCATCTTACATTGTACAACAAAACGTGATCATGTGACAGTGAGGATTATTTTAACTGATCACCTTGTCACCCTAAATATAGATCCCACAGAGCCTTCACTAACAACAGCCAGCGTACCTCATAAACAGCTCGGGTAAGTTGGAGACAAAGGTGATCCTAACAAAAGCTGGAAATTTGAAATATACCTTTAAATAAACTCACTCAGAAACATTTTCTTCAGATCAAAACCTAACAAAATACAGGTCCAAAACATTAAAACCAAACATTGGTGATATAGGTGTGTCAGAATCTGAATTGGGGAATGAAAAGGATGTTGGCTTTGGCACAGGCCCTCATTGGACATTTTGAACACAGGACTCCAATATAGAGTTATACAGCATGGAAACAGACACTTTGGTCCAACTCATCTGTGTTGGAAAATCCAACCAGGAGTCTACAGGCATAGATGGGGCCCAAACCTACAATTTCTGGTATACAAGACCAATGCCTCATTCCAAATCAAGATTATTCAATGAACATGGCATCTTGGATCCCATTTATCTCTGGAAGGTGTGCATCAATTCCAGCTTTTTAAACACCCCAGTTTTACTCAGTCCACAACAGCACCATGCTTTCTGCTGCATACACAGACCTTAATCTCTGGAATTCTATCCCTGATACTCTCCACCACTTGCTTTTAAAATACTCCTAAAATCTTACCTAGCTGTCATAATATCTGCCTATGTGGCTTGATGTCAGAATTCTGGTTTCTAACATTGCTGCTAAGGGCCCCAGGATGTATTACTATAGGAAAAGATGCTATATAAATGCAAGTTTTGTTTCAAGATAGGTCAATCATCCTGGGCTGCTTCCAGAACAGCATCTGCCAGATCCTTGGCATTAAGCAGTTCCCATAGGCTAGAGCATACCTGACCAACAGACCTGACTGCAGCCTGGCAAGGGAGTCCTGTCTGGCCTATGACATAAGATTCTACAAGAAGCTGGTCCTCCAATCAGAGACCATTTCTCTCCCCTTTTGTTGCTGATTGGCTAATTGAGGTAAATCAACAGCCTCTAATTGAATGAGTAGCAAGTTGTGTTAAAGTGCTTACCTTCATGGAGCCTGGGTGCTGAGGACAGTGGGGCCTGCAACAGACAGAGGAGTGGGTGTAGGGACCAGGCTGCAAGTCCGTAAACTGCTTAGCAGCCAAAGTGGCAAACGGGTCAGCAGCGAACGAGACTCTCTCTTTATTAGTTAGCTCTGCTGCTTGGGTTGTTTTGATAGCCAGTTTCATTAATTTTCTTTTTTTAAATTCAGTAATGGGATGTGGACATCACTGGCTGGGCCAACATTTAATGTCTGTCCCTAGGTGCCCTTGAGAAAATGGTGGACTGCCTTCTTGACCTGTTGCAGTCTATGTGCTGTAGGCAGACCCATGATGCCATTAGGGAGGCAATTACTCAATTACTTAAATTATCAATTTATTGCTTTGGAATCTGTTTTGAAATTAATGTTTGTTGTTGTGCCAAATCATTTCTTTGCAATATTTGTTCACTGCTCCCCCTCCTAATGAACAGAAGAAAAACTGAAATATGCCCCATACCCCACCTCCTTGCATTTCCAAAAAGTTTAGATTTTCCTAGACTAGAGACTAAATAGTTGGGATAAAGCAAAAGTTTGAGTAAAAAAGACCCTGCATTCTTTTGTAGTGAATCAACGTCCCATGTAATAAATTTCCCACTGCACAAAGAAAACCCTGTTATTATAGATTCTTAAATCAAAGCAGATTGAATAAAAATAGAATGGATTTACCCAAAATTGTATTATATTCAAAAATTGTAATCACAGCTGTGAAATTTGAGTCCTATTAATTTAAATTGTTTAACATAATGATATTGGTAATTTTAATCTCTTTTCCAGTCAAAAATCTTTTAAATTGTTTTGTTATGTTGCCCAATTCCCACATGCAGAGGCACAGTGATGCAAAGTCTTGCTTGCCTGATCAACTGTAAGCATTATCGATTTCACAGCTATGGTTCCTTCATTGATAGAATTTGATTTAAGACTTGGGTCAGCGAGGTATTTATAAAAGGATACTACTGCTGTTCACACTCTTAAGTCAATTTGTTTCAGTGCAGCTACAACATCTTATATAGACAAATCCAGATGAACAATGACCATCCTACTCTCGAGTCATCAGCAAGTGATAGTTCTATCAAGTGGTACTTACTCACCAATTAGCTGTTCACCTATGCTTAGTTTGAGTACTACCAGGACTTTCATCCTTGGCCAAAACACACAGATCAGACAGAACACTCTCCAGCAGCTGCAGACACACCTAGAACAATGGAAGATGGTTGTAGTTCTGGGCCTCACTACAGGAGTTCCTCATCACAGCATCCCATGCCCAAACATCCTCAACATTTTTAAGATAAATCTTTATTGGGATCTGGGCATCACAGGCAAAGCCAGCATTTCATGACCATATTCAAGAGGCCCTTAAATTGCGTGGCTTGCTGGACTATTTCAGAAGGCAGTTGAGTCAACCACACTGCAGTGGGTCGGGAGTCATATGTAGGCCAAAGACGGCAGATTTCCTTCCATAAAGGAACACTGTCAGCAAAAATGCCATTTTGTACTCACTCCTGGCAGTTTCACAGACACTATAACAGAGATTAGCTTTGAATTCCATAAGTGATTAAGTTAGCTTTCTTACATCGTAACCAGAAGTGGGGAAGTTTTGCAATGATTATTCGGGTCCATTCACAATTCCCCAGATAATGAAGCAGTTCATATTTGTCTGCAATAAGGCTGAGAATTACATCCAGGTCTGGGCTAATAAGTGCCGAATGACATGTTTGCCACTGAAGTGCCAGGCAATGACCTTTCCAACAAGATAGAATCTAGCAACAAACCTTCTCTTTATATTTCATAGCACTCTTATCTCCTACTCTCAAAATCCTGGAGGTCATCATTGTAAAGAAACTGATTAAGTCACAAAAATATTATTGCTATTGCAGCAAGGCACAGTCTGGGTATCTTGAGCTGAATGACTCATTTTAAACTCTCTAAAGCCTGTCCACCACCTGCAAGGCACAAGTCAGGAGTGTGACAGAATAATCCATTGCTTAGATTGATAAAGCTGGAACAACATTCAAGGAGCTCAACATCTTACAAGATAAAGCAGACCATTTGACAGTCAGACACAGCACCTTAGTCATTCACTTCCTGGTACCAATGGCTGCACACAGCACCATCCACGTGATTCACTCCAACTTATCAAGGCTTCTTCATCAGCCATTGTGATATCCACAACCATCTAGAAAGGCAAGGGCATTCAGGAATGTGGAAACATAATTACGTGCAAGCTTCCAACTGAGGTTACACGCCATCCTGACTTGGAAATATTATCACCATTTGTTCACCTTTGCTGGGGCAAAGATCTGGCACTGCCCATGTAACAGCACAGAGTACATTCAACACATTACTACATTGGAACAGGCAGCATTTTCACCTCCATTTGCACTAGGGATGGGTGATAAATGCCAGCGATGTCCATCACTGGTGAAAAAAATGAAAACGTTACCTGTGGGCGCACAGAATAGCTAGAGAATCCAGCTCAAAAATGGTCAAAATCGCAGCTCAAGTGCACCCCCTGATGGTGCAGGAAGTCGCAGAGACTGAGAAGGTCCATGTTCAGTCTCCAGTTTATGTCGATTTCTCTCAACAAAGCTAGGGCAGGCAGAAGTGGGTTCAGGACTCTCGGGTTAGGAGGAGGGAAAAAAAGTTCACCTTTCTGCTCCTGAACAACACTGAATAACTCCAAGAAGGACAGGACTGTGCATCTCTGATACCTCCTGTGACAGAATGGCCAAGACGCAAGAACAATGACCATACAGATGACGAAAAACACCTACAATCTTTAAAAGGAAATCAAGCAAATCTTTTAAAAATTATTGAAAAAAATCTTTATAGTCCATGTAGGCTTCAATTATTAATTTTTTTGCACTTCACAATCATGACAAACAATCATAATTCTTCTTGAACATGACCTTATATGTATGCCTGCTTTCCATAAGTTGTAAGATTTTGGTGCTTACAACAAATATCTGGCCAATTGCCCAATGAATGCTACATGCAAAATGATCAGGTTCCTTCTGTTTTAGGAGGTCCTCAATGTGTTACATTTTCCTGAAGTAAATTACTGCTGAATATTAATACTGTTTTATGGCATTACTTTTGTAAATTGTGTGGCTGATTTCAATTTTTGGACTCACCAAATTCATTCACATTTTAATTACCTCTGGATGGAATCACTGGCACAGTCTGCCTCAAAATGAGAACCAGCAAACAGTGTGAAAGTTATTTTGAAATTCGATCTTACGCCCTGCTACCATTCATATAGTTCTTTCATTAATCCAGCAAAAAGCATCTTTAGCATTTGTGGAAAACTATACTCAAAAAAGGCAAATCTTGACAAGATATCATTAGACAAATTCCGGGTCTCGAGTTTCAAGTCCAATGTCTATTTTCCCATGACGCATCCGTACCCACGGCAACTGACTGCGCCGCTCTCTCATATGCGATGGCCTGCTGCTATGAACATGAAGCCAATGATTTTTGTCCACATTATTTGATTGGTTTGTATTAAAGTCTGCCAGACTTTTGTTGGAATTCTTCGCTCGGTCCATTTCCTCATCACCAGTATTTGCCTGCCCACCTTTCTCCAGCTGTTGTGATGAAGCTGTCGAACATTCGACAGTTATTTCTGATGCAGTCAGAGACACGTCAGCATCTGAACCTTGAGCCTGACTATTGTCAGTCTGTTTAGCTAATCTATTGCACTCTTCGTCTGCATTGTCATTGTAGAAAGGAGGCTCGTCAGCACTAGCTACGCTCTCCTGTTTTGGCAAGCATCCCTTTCGACTTCTTCGGACTCCTTCCTCAGACCCAGTTTGTCCAGTAGTACATTCATGTGCACCGTCTTCTAGCTCAGAGTCAGAATCCAGTGAACGCTCACGAGATTCTGAAGATTTTTCTGATCCTAAAGAGTTTCCTGAAACAAGACAGACATAGATTATTGTTAGAGTCCTGAGGAAGGGTCACTGGATCTGAAACATTAACTCTGATTTCTCTCCACAGATGCTACCAGACCTGCTGATCTTTTCCTGCAATTTCTGTTTTTGTTTCTGATTTCCAGCATCTACAGTTCTTTCAGTTTTTTAAAAATAGATTATTAATATCTGTGAAAACTACTGGCAATAATTTGTATTTGTACAGTATTATGACTATTTATATTAATACATTTTAATGTCTTTAAGACTTGTTCTACATCACACAGAAATTTTAGCTGCAAAGAAACTGGAGTAACTTTCACCACAAAATAATGGATCTCATCCACTTAGTTTAATGATTTGCAACCTGCTTTATGTGGGTGGTTGCATTTGCAGCAAAGCAGGACTAAAAAGATAATAAGAGAGACAAAGACAAACTAGCAAGGAATATAAAAACTGACAGTAAGAGCTTTTGTAAAGTATACAAAATGAGAGAGACCAAAGTTACATAGACCTCTTAGAAAATGAGCTGGGGAGATATTATGGGGAACAAGGAAATGGAAGAGGAGTTAAACAGATACTTTGCATCAGTCTTTACAGTGGAAGATACAATGAACATCCTATTAATATGGAGGAGGATTTAAGTACCCTCACCAGAGTCAAACTAATGGGGCTAAAAGCAGATACGTCCCCTTGTCTTAAATGGCTTGCAACTCAAGTTTCTAAAAGCAGGAGGTTCAGAATTTATGGATGCATGCGTTAAAATTGTCCAAAAATCCTTGACTTCTGGAGAAATACCAGAGAACTGGAAAACTGCCAGTGTGATCACTCCTATTCAAAAGATAGGGAGGCAAAAAGCAAGTAATTAAAGGTTGATTCATCTAACATCCATTGATGGAAAATCCAATTATCAAGGATGCAGAAGCTGAGCATTTGGAAAATCATAATCTAATCAAGTAGAGTCAGCACGGCTTCATGAAAGGGTAATCTCGCCTAATTTATTTGAGTTTTTCAAGGGAGTCTCAACTAGACTAGATAGAGGGGAACCAGGAGGTGTGTTATATTCCAGTAAATGTTCAACAATATAGCTCACGAAAGGCTAAGCCGTAAGATCCCATGGTGTTCGAGGTAGCATATTCACATGGATAGAGAACTGGCTAACTGACAGAAAACAATGACAGGGGATAAGGGCTTCAGGTTGGTGATCTGCAACCAGTGAGATTCCAAAGGGATCAGTGCTGGGATTGCAACTGTTTGTAATAATATGTTAGTAACCTGGAGGAAATTAGTGAATGTACTGTTGCCAAATTTGTAGACGACAGTCAATTAATCACTGGCTGGACAGAGAGAAATTCACTCCAAAGTAACTTTAAAATCAAACAACATTCGTTAAATGAAACATTGGCATAAAAATTGGACTTTTAAAACATTCCTTCAAAAAAAGTGATATGCAATGCATGTACATATGTAGCTGTCATATGTAACTGATACTGTTCAGTGAATGGGACATTTGCCTGGTATATGGTAGAAAATTAATGCAATTGAATTTGACATTTCAGACAAAATCAACTGATCTGAATTGGTCTAACAATCTGATGCTGAACCAGACCATGCATACAGTGAATGTATTGCAGAACTCGGGTTGCACAGTGGGTATGGAGAGTCACTTTTTATAACTTATTCTAACACCAAGCACAAATTTCTTTTGCTTACTTACCACAAAGCGTATCAGAGTATAACCTCTCTCTGTCGAACTCTGCTGATTCATCAAGATAAGGTAAATCACTCCCTGATCCCACTCTTCTTGCAGAAGACTCTCTCTGAAACACAGAATTAATGAATAAAGGTAAAATATCTTCTACAAGATGCAAGACAAAAAGAAAACTCAAAAAAAACAGACAATATTAATGGCTGATTGCTTCGTGAGTTCAAGTGATGTTCTCTTGGCCATATTTCAATACAAGGCTCAAAGTAATTTAAATGAGTTATAACAGCTGAAAGGACAACCAGAGAAATTTAAACCGAAGGTGGAATTCACTGTCCAACTGTGTCTGCCAGCAACTAGCTATAATAATCCAAGACTAGTCACACTGCCTACTCTCACCCCCTTCCTCTGCTCCAACATTTGACACAACTTCTCTTTATGAAATGGTCTCTGTTTCAGTCATTCTCTATGCCAAAGCACTGCAGGCTTGAACAACTTTTCATAATTGTATTTTCCTTACCCCTCATTCTGAGAACTGTAATAATTGACCTTCCTCCCTGGAGAGAACAGCCTTTCTCTGCTCTATTAATACCCATTTTAGAAGACTACCAAGTATTTTCAAGTTCACCATTGCAGTAGAATTCATTAGTCCCAGTACTTTTAAATGCCAAGATTAAGAACCAAGGTTTTTAAGGTTGTTACAACTGCAACGATCCAGGCAAGTGAACAGTATGCCATCACATCCCTGATCGGAAGGAACTCTCCAAGATGTTGACGGGCGTGGGAGGGATTAAACCCATTTCTGCCTAACACAAATCAATGTCCCTTTCTCACTTATCATCTGTTTTACAGTGTACTTGGACGAGAGATGAACACTGGCAGCAAGCTTAGCCCAGCTTCTCAGATAGGATACACTGACTCAAATGTATGATGTGATGAACAGAAAGGTCTTAAAGTTGTATTGTATAGTATTAATGAACAAAAATTAATATTTTATGAAGTTTCTTTACCTACTTTCCAGGAAGACTCATTCAGAATAAATTAGTAGATTTGTCTCTAAAATAGGAATTTCATATGACTCTGAACATCATAACTTAAATTCAAGATCTGACATTATCCTCTGGGTCTTAATAGCTGGGCGATATGACTGAATAACTGGTGACTTTAAAACCACATTGATATTATTTCCTCCACATCTGCAACAAGTCTGTTACTGCAACGCTGAGCAGACAAAACTGTCATGGTCTGTAACAGGGAAACAGGCCCTTTGGTCCAACAAGTCCACACCGACCCACAGAGCATCCATCCAGACCCATCCCCCTACAACCCACCTAATCTACACATCCCTGAACACTATGGGCAATTTAGCATGGCCAGTCCACCTACACTGCACATCTTTGGACTGTGGGAGGAAACTGGAGCACCTGGAGGAAACCCACGCAGACACAGGGAGAATGTGCAAACTCCACACAGACATTCGCCCAAGGGTGGAATCGAACCCAGGTCCCTGGCGCTGTGAGGCAGCAGTGCTAACCATTTGCTGACAATAATCGCAAACTAAACTAGTCCCACCTGCCTGCATTTGGCCCATATGCCTCCAAACATTTTTTATTCATGTAATACTTATCTAAATGTTGCAACTATACCCATATCCAACACTTCCTCTGAAAGCTCATTCCAGACCTGAACCACTCTGTGTAAAAAAACTGCTCCTCATGTCATTTTTAAGATTTTTCTCCTGTCACCTTAAAATTATGCCCCCAGTCTTGAAATCCCCCACCCTAGGGAAAAGGCATCTGCCATTCACTTTATCTATACCCCTCATGATTTTACAAACCTCTATAAGGTCACCTCTCAATCTCCTACACTCCAGTGAAAAAAGTCCCAGCCTGTCCAACTTCTCCTTATAACTCAAAACCTCCATTCCTGGCAACATCCTGGTAAATATTTTCTGAACCCTCTCCAGCTTAATAATATCCTTCCTATAACAGGGAGACCAGAACTGAACACACCAACATCCTGTACAACCTCAACTTCCAGTGTATTATACCTGCAATAATACTGTCCACTATATATTGAAAGTCTAGTGTCACATGAATCAAGTCTGGTGCTTGTTGCAAATAAACTCGTGCAACTTACGCAACAGGTCACAATGAAACGATTACACAAAAAGGCAAAACACAGTTACAAAATAAGGAAATTTCTGTCAATTATATTGTGGAATTACCAAAAGAGAAATACTGTTAAAGGTTTTCGTCTTCCACTCATCAGGAATGATTCAAAAACTCCTAAGTTCAAAGGGAACAGCAATTTATACTACATAAGATAAAGCATGTTGATTGATTTAACTAAGTGTTGCTATGGGAAATGCACTAGGAAACAGCTGTCCTCCAAGTTTTTGCTCAATTTAAGAATATGCAATGCCTGGGTACATCATTTCTGTTTGGGGAGGGCTGGTGCATTCTTCATGGGAGCACCTCAACTGGAATCCACTTGCTAACCAATCAACAGAATAAATTGTTGTGTTCCCTCAGATTTCATATTCCGGCGTCTGTCACAATGAGTGCAAGATAATTTTCAACAGTATTCAAGTCCTGCACTATCGAGTGCCTATCAGGGGAACAATGAAATATTCCACAAACGGTGGTTTATAATCTGAGAAAATAGAGAGCTTTTACCAAATAGTTCTGCTGCCTCTGCAATAAATCACACTGCTTACATTTTAGTGTTTACATTTTAGAGACATTTCTTACCTCACTGTAACTATCAGTTGGCGATGCTTCATCCACAGTATCTTCATCTGAGGGCATGTTAAACTCTGCTTTAAGTTCAAATATGTCTGTGTAGTAGATAATTAATGTTTCCACAATGCGAGCCTGATGAGGGTAGTCAACAAGGGAGGACAAAGATACTGTTGCCTCTGTAGGCCTGGGTCTCATCAGCGTAGGTCCAAATACAATCCCCAGATTACTTGGAGACATTTTATTGTTTTGTTCAAGTTCTGAAATTCTAAAGATTAGAAGTATACATTACTCAATGCCTAATATCAGAAGATACTAGAGGACATTCACTTAATGATGCTGTCCAAAAATTGACTGGTTGTATTGCAGACATTTCAGAAATATTGGGTGACAATATCTAGCAGAGCCTCACTGTCCAGCTGTGATTTGCAACCCCTAACACCCCTTGTCAGGACTTCCATCTCCTCAGTCATTATCACTGTTACCCAGTGATGGGCATCAATATGGAACTTAATGGACAGTGACTTTTGTTGCCAATTCCTGAGGTCACCATCATGACAATAAATCATGAAAAGAGACAGCAAGTACCTAATTTGAAAATGTGTCTTGTAATGGTCTTTCAACCCTCCAGGCAGACCTACATTAGACACCGAAAGTTGCTGATTATTGAAGAGGATTTTTCGTAGGAATCTGTTTTATTCGTCACTGCATTTTTTTTAGAAGAAGGGTTCTCGCTGAATCTTGCAGTACTGCAGGTGTCCCAAGGGCACAATTCTGCACCGGCTCCCTCCACTCCCTCACCACTGCTTCCAGCCACCACACACCGTCCCTCCAACCTCTCTCTCTCTCTCGGTCTGTCTTTGTGGGAATCCCATGATGAGTCCGTCATTTATCTCTGATGAGTTCAAAACGAAGTTGCAGATGGGGTGGGAAGATGTACCTCAAAAGAGGGAATGAATTTCCTCTGGTGGCAAAGACCGTACCTGGGGTTATAATCTTGAAATTACGGTGAGGCCATTCATGGGGGATATCAGGAAGCATTTCACCTCACAATGGAATGTGGAAATCTAAAGCTTTCTCCCCTAGAAAATTTCAAAGCTGAGATTCATAGGACATTAGCTAGACAAAGGTGTTAAATGTTATGGAGTCATGATAGGTCAACATAATAAGATTAAAAAACTCAGGCCTGATCTTATAAAATGGTAAGGAAGACTTAAGAGGCCCACTGGCCTTCACATGTTCCTAATTTCCAGAGATAGGAATGTGGGCCACTGGGACTATTACTTCTGGACAGGAGGATGAGATTTAACAGAGCTCATATTATAAACACGGAATGAGGATAATATGGAAAGATTAATTCCTCCTGACTGGGGAGTCACAAGTCAACAAATTAAAATTGTCAAATGAATGCAGAGAGAGTTTGAGACAATTTCTTTGTACAGCAATTTTCTGAAGCAGAGAATACAATGTCAAAAGGAAAAGCCAAGGGAAAGACCACGCTACTAAATCACATGGGGAACTCCAACCAATTATTTCTTCAGTTTCTCCTGGTTTTGATCAGGTAAGTTTCAAAATTCAGCTACGTTATAGATTAGACTATAATTTGAGGCATTTTGATGATGATAGGACTGAATTGCCCATGTGGAGACAGGAAACCAGAATCAGGACTGTTTCTCAGCTCTAATGGAAAACTGGTTCAAGTTTTTAAAGGCAGCGGTCAGGCCACTAATCAACAGGGCAGCCTTTGGCTGGACCCTATGTTCTGTAGGCTGGCCAGATATAATGGCACTCCATCATGCCATAGGGTGCTCTGGCAAGATCTGTCTTCTCCATTGCTTTGGGAAACTGGAGACTGACTGAAAAATCCCAGGCGGCCTGTTATGTATCTTGAACAAACCTCTTAACAAGCCAAATTACGTGCCCATCTAGTGAGGGTTATTCACTTTCCTGGGTCCTGAATCTGTCCCGGAGGGCAGGAACAGGATTGGAAGACAGTAATGCATAAACCCTCACATCCCAAGAAGACGTAGTAAAAGGACATAGCAGCTGATTCTGCTTAAAGTGAAAAGCAATGGAAGCAATAAATTGTTGAAACAGGAAACATTACACAGCCTTTCCCTTCAGACCAAAGTGAAGGATGAATTTAGCAATGGACTGGACTCACTTGCTAAGATGTCGGATGATGTACTGCAGCGTGGCCTTGTTTGCAGGCGGCAGATCCTTCAGCAGTTCTTTCAGTCGTGCCACAAGTAGCAGTAAATCCTTTTCAATTGTCGACTCTTTACTTCCTGCATCCCCTGTGCTCTGCAAGCTCTCTTTGGCCAGTCCCATCAAATCATTATAGAGACGAAACAGCATAATAGGCTCTGGAAGCTAACATTAAATATTCACATTGGTAATGTTACGTTTAGAACTCAGAAGCCTGTGTGTGGGTGTGTTTAACTCTGGCTTGGACATATTCCTGGGAATGTCCGTGACATAAGCAATTGCTTCCAACCAACCCACTCCTCACCCTAACCATCGGTTTTCTGACATGTCTGTCCTTATGATATTATGAACTGGCAAACTGGAAAAACTATAGTCTAAGAATTTTAAAAATACACATTTCAATTGCTGAGTCCCCCCAAACACATCGTTTGCGGCTGGAGACATGTCTTTAATTCTAGGTGACATCAAGAGAGTTGGTAGCTTTAACCAGTAATAGCTTATTTTAAAATAATTCCATCTTACTGCCTAATGAGCAAGCACTGATCACCAATTGTAATTTACCTCCTGAGAACCAACAGAGGAGATGGTGCTCTCATGGTTTCAAATCTCACCATGACAGCTGGGGGAACTTAAATTCGATTAATAACTAACTATCTGGAATTTGAAGTTAGTATCAACAACGGTGACCAGGAAATACTCATCGATGGTCTTTTAGGGAGTGAAATATGCCATCCTTCCGTAGTCTGGTCTGTATGAGTCGAGACATGCAACAATATGTCTGACCCTAAACTGTCCTTGAATGACCGACCTCCCAAATGTCTCAGATCGACAGCAATTAGGGATGGACAACAAATGCCAGTCTAGTCAGTGACACACAGTGCCTCAACAACAAACTAAAAGAAACAAGTGAAAAATTTTATCTATGAAATCATGCATTGTTTGTGTTGTACAATCTGACATTAACCTAGTGAAGGCTATTGCATTGATTTGTATAATGAAATGGTGCAAGCAGATGCACCAAAACCAAATTGATTATGTTAAAGACGAACTTCAAGGACAGTTGCCCCAAATCTTTTATTTCTTCCTATTTTGTCTCTGATTGCAAGATTCAGAAGGACAGGCACCTGGCTCTCAAACTGTTAAGCCTTGGTAAAGCTAATTGCTGCTCTCTAATGTTGAAAATAGATAGAACACTATGCAAACAACAATTCTTACAAACGTTTAAGATTAATGAAATTGGCAATTTTTGACACTTGTCAGTAAAGCTCAGGGATGTCATCCCATGAAATTTAACACAGCAGCTTTTTAACAAAAAGGAAAGGGCCTTTTGTTACCTGTCGCAGGTACAGTTTGAGCACATTGCTGATGTCATGCGGTGATGCTTGAGAGAGTTCGACTAGTTCCTTCCCATTCTCAAAAGCCTGGCACAGTTTCTCAACACGAGTCTTTACACCATTGACGCGGTAGATTCCCTGAAGACAATATTAAAGAGGTAAGAGGTGTGTCAAACTTTTCTAGGTGTGCAGTAACACTTGGCATCCTGAACTCCCAATGCAAAAGGAATTAGAAAGTGAAAGTTTGGAGATACAAAGAAAGCATGGGCTTAATGAATGGACAAGAATGAGGGGAGACTGAAAAACAGATAATGAAAGATTAGAATACTGGAAGAAGTGGAACGTGGGAAGAAAAACATGTTGACAATTGAGGGAAGGCTAATTACAACAGTAGTAGGCAGGAACTGGAGAAATTAGATTGGGGTTGGCTGTTTGAGGGTAAATCTACATCTGACATGTTGGAATATTTCAAAGGCTAGTTGAAACAGAGTTCAGGACCAGCATGAGGATGAAAGATAAGGATGACAAGATTCAAGAACCATGGAAGACAAGTGATATTGAAAATTTAGTCAAAAAGGAAAACGGAAGCAAATATAAGGTCTAGGAAACTGAAAGCAGACAAAGCCCTTGAGGAGTATAAAGGATGGGGGAAAGAAATTAAACAAGGAATTAGGAGGGCTACAGGGGCCACAAAATGTCCTTGGCAAGGAGGACTAAGGACAATCCCAAGGCATTTTATATATATATTAGGAGCAAAGAGGGTAGCTAGGGAAAGAGTACGTCCACTCAAGAACAAAAGAGGGAATTTATGCATGGAGGAAGGAAGTGGGTTAGGTCCTTGATGAGTAGTTTGCATTGGGTGCTCATCAAGGAGAAAGACATGGATGATGGTAAGTTTAGGAAGGAGCATGTTGATATTCCAGGCATGTCAAAATTAAGGGGGACAAGGTTGGGTGTCTTGAAAAACATTAAGGTAGATAAGTCTCTAGAGCCTGATGAGATCTATCCCAGGACGCTGATGGAGGCAAGGGAAGAGATTGCTGGACTCTTGACAGAGATTTTAGTATCCTCTTCAGCCAAAGATGAGGTCCCAGAAGACTGGAGAATAGCCATTGTTGTTCCTTTGCTTAAGAAGGCCAAGAGGGATAACCCAGCAAATAAAGAGCCAGTAAGTCTTGTACCAGTGGTAGGGAAATTACTGGAAAAGATTCTTAGGAACAGGATTACACATATTTGGATAAGAATGGCCCTATTAGGGCCGGTCAGCATGACTTTATGTGGGGAGGTCTTGTCTCAAATTTAACTGAGGTTTTGAGGAACTGACAAAAATGATTGATGAAGGTGGACCAGTGAATGTTGGATCAACATGGACTTTACTAAAGCATTTGACAAAGGCTCTCATTGTACACTCGTCCAGAAAATTAAGTCACATTAAGTTGGTAAATTGGATACAAAATTGGCTTGGTCATAGAAGACAGAGGTAGTTGTGGAGGGGTGTTTTTCTGACTGGAGGTCTGTGACCAATGGTGTTCTGTAAGGATTAGTGCTGGGACTTTCCTTATTTGTAATATATAGAACTGACTCATGCAAATGTAGGTGGTCTGATTAGTAAGCTTGCATATGACACAACAATTGCCGGAATTGCAGATAGTGAGGAAGCTTGTCAAAGGGTACAGCAGGATATGGTTGGGTAGACAAATGGCAGATGGAGTTTAATCTGGACAAGCGTGAGGTGATGCATTTTGGGAGGTCAAATGCAAGAGGGAAGTATACAGTAAATGGTAGGACCCTTAGGAGTACTGGTATACAGAGGGATCTGAGAGTGCAAGCCCATTGCCCCCAAAGTGGCAACACAAGTGGACAAGGTGACAATGGTGGTGTATGGCAACTCATGTAGCAGCTATATATGACTTTAGTTAGCCACATTTGGAGTGCTGTGTGCAGGTCTGGTTGCTGGACCATAGGAAGGATGTGGAGGCTTTGGAGAGGGTTCCAAAGGGGGTTTACCAGGATGTTGTCTGGAGTGGAGTGTATTAGCCATACAGAGAGGTTGGACAAACTTGCATTGCTTCTACCACAGCATCGACCTGACAGAAGTATTTATAATTATGAGAGGCATAAATAGGGGGGGGATAATTGGAATCTTTTTCCCAGGATGGAAATATCAAGTACTAAACAGCACAGATTTAAGGTGAGAGGGGGAAAGTTTAAGAAGAGATGTGTGAGGCAAGGTTTTTGCAATGAAGATGGTACGTGCCTGGAACGCGCTGCCAGGGGAGGCTGTAGAAGCAGATACGATAATAAGGTTTAAGGGGCATTTAGATAGACACGCGTACAGGCCGAGAACAGTGGGATACAGACCACGCGCAGGAAGATGGGATTAATTTAGAATAGCAACACAGTCAGCACAGTCATCGTGTGCTTTTCTGTTCTATATTTAATCTCATCCATCATAAAAACCTTAAAAATGATGAGAGCTCTGGAATACCTATTAATGAGCTTTCTTCTCTCAGAAATTCCTTATCTGCTGCTCTTTTGGAGGAATGAACTTACCACGCCTGCCATCCCATCAGAAAAAAATCAGCTTTATATGCAAACTCGGAGGAGAAATTTTAGGGCCTTTGAAATAATTAAGAGTTTATTCAGAACAAGTTTTCTTTTGATAAACTCAGCATTCTGATTGGATGATTCTTGCTTATTGGTCCAACAGCAATTTTCCCCATGTCCAATACATTTTTAAACTAATAAATGTATTCAGAAGAAAGGTTTTGAAAAATACTTGTATTATTAGTTTTCTCCCTGGGTCACTCGTAGCCATATTCTGTAGGTCAGACCTTAATTCCTGAACAGCAGGAGGTTGGTAGCTTATTAAAATCAATCAGTCAGTCAGTCTCACAGCTAATGGGCAGGCACTAATCATGAATGTAATTTAAATCCTAAGAACTAAGTTAGAGCTTTCATTTATAGTTGGACGTGAACCATCTTGGATATTGAGATAGTGGGAGGTTTTGGGGTTCTCAGAGTCTGCTCCTGAAAGCTGAGGACTGACTTACTTTCATACTCAAAGCCCTCTTCTCAATCTCGGAGATGCACGCCTTGATGATGAATGGGATTCCATCGAGACTGTCCCGGGAAACCTGGGCAAAATCCCTTCCAAACAGCTGCAACTTCCGCTGTAGCTTCTTGTGTCCACATTTTATCGCCAGCGTCTCCAGACATTTCTTGTGACAAGCCAGATTGCACTGCAGGATACATTACACCACGATTAGTAAAAGGAAGAGTTGCAAATCTACTCACCTGAGAGGAACTAATTTGTGATACTCATTAATCTATGTCTAAGTTACATAACATTTTGATTAAAATTATCTTTGTGAAATTTCTGCATGAGACATTATCAGGTCACAGATCCTATCATGTAATCTGCTCTTGGTAATATTCTTCATAATTTCATGTCACAAGAGACATTGAAAATAGGAACTGGAGTAGGCCATTCAGCCCTTCGAGCCCACTCTGTAATTCATACAGATTATGGCTGATCATCCAACTCAGTACCCAGTTCCTGCTTTCACCCCACATCCTTCGATCACTTTAGCCCTACGACCTATATCTAACTCCTTAAAATAAACAAGTATTTATTCTTATTTCTGAAGAAGGGTCTAGGCCCAAAACGTCAGCTTTCCTGCTCCTCTGATGCTGCTTGGCCTGCTGTGTTCATCCAGTTCTACACCTTGTTATCTCAGATTCTCCAGCATCTGCAGTTCCTACTATCTCTGAAAGTATTTATTCTTTATCTTTCTCCCAGTGCACCCGAGAAATGTTCAGTTCCCCTCTACCGAACAGATGTAATGGGGTCGGGGGGAGGTTTAAAGACCCTGGAGACCCAGGGCTCTGGGCCTTTCACATTCCCTGACTTGCTCTCGAGGATTTTCAGCAGGCACCAAAGAATAGTCATGGTGATGAGGTTGGAGGGAAGTTTCCAGACCAATTCACCTTTGTTTTTTAAACGCTTCCTAACAACGTTTTGATGAGGTGTGTGAAATTGTCGTCTTTGCAGCCACTCTGTGATTGAAATGGAACATACAGCCAGGACCAAATAGGCTCTACAGGGAAGCACGTTTTAGGTTCAGTGAGACACAGAATGAGACACAGACACACAGACAGACACAGAGTGAAAGAGAGAGAGACAGAGAGAGAGACAGAGAGATAGATACAGACACAGAGAGAGACACACACAAATACACAAAGGGTTCTTCTTGGACTCTAGTAAAGGTAAGTTTGTATTCTAATTCCAGCCTTGCAAGGGTGTTCTTGTACTATAGATAGGGGAAGTGATCAACAGTGTTTTTGTAATTAAAGAGAGAGGAAGTGACCATTACATCCTCTGGCAAACCCCACGAATTTCCACCCTGAACACGCAGAGCACAATGTGCTTCTTGAGTGCTAGAGTTTTGCTTCATAAAATCCCATGGTGAAAATTTTGGCTTTGAATAGATGTAAATGGTGAACAATTCACTTGATCAAATAGGCACTGGTGTCACTTTAATATCTTTAAAGAGAAAAGTAGAGGGTTGTACTAAAACAACATTCCTCATCAAACAAGGCAAAGTACAGAGCTCAACTCACCTGTTTCTAACCAGCATTTTAGAAAGAAAGAATTTGCATTTATACAGTTCCTAATTATGCCTTTAAACAAATCCCAAATATTCTATATTATGCATTGTCTATAAGTGTACAGACCATTACTGTGGCAATTAGCAGGTCACAAATATACATCAGTGAGACATGAGGCTATTAATCTGTTTTGGTAATATTGGCTGAGGGGGGGATATCTGCAGAGATATGGAGAAAACTCATTAAATCTATGAATATTTCAAAGCAACCTTTTCTATTTACTGAAGTAGACAAATGAGGCCTTGTTTTAAGGCCTCATTCTTAAGTATGTTAAAAACAGTCAATTATCTGTTAACATTCATAAGAAGGTTAGAATCCCATTAAGACCAGTTCAAAAAGTATAACGTGATCTGCATAAGGGATCAACATGAATGTTTATTACGGAAACAATGATTTATTTTACTTTTGTTCAAATATGGTCTACTATGTAACAGTTTCCAGAACCACTTCTAATCCCCTAATCCCATTACTTACTTCCTCACATTCTGCTCCCTGGAAGTACACGTAGCTATCGCACTCTCTGCATTTTGATGGCGTACGAAGTTTCCTGAGGCGATGTGTTTGTGCAGCCTTTGAAAGTCGCACATTTTTGAACGGACCAGTAGATACTGCTATTTCTGGAGCCATCCCATTGATGCCTATTCCGAAATGAAATCAATTTAATCAACTGATTAAATAAAAATTACTCAACAAATTTCATTCAAAGTTGAAAAAGTCATTGTGCATCAGATTGGATGCAACACTGCTTCACTGTGGTTAGATTTTCTTTATGGCCCTAACCCAAAATGATGAGCAGTATCAACAGTAAACTGGTTTCACGAGGTACATCTATCTCCTTGGCCCCCATCAGGATATCTCAATTTATTGGTTAGCACAGTTGGCTGGAACAGCTGGTTTGTGATGCAGAGTGACACCAACATCACAGGTTCTATTCCTGCACTGGTTAAGGTTACCATGAAGGCTCCCACCTTCTCAACCTCTTCCCTTGTCTGAAGCCTGGTGACCCTCAGGTTAAACCAGTGCCAGTCATCTCGTTCTAATGAGACAGCAGCCCTATGATCCTCTGGGGCTATGGTGACTTTACCTTTACAGATTTAAAGCATTTTTTCACAATTTTTCAGGTCCCCTGCTCCTCACTTCCCTCCCCTGAGTGGGTACCCGGGCCTCCCCAGCTGTAGCATGGCCGAGATGCCACCCAAGGGTGCAGGTGCCCACTGTTTATTCTGAAATCGGAGAACATCCTCTGACCTCGGATTCCGCGTGGAGGTCAATGGAGGAGATTCCTTGATGGGTCCCTCCTGGTTCCTTCTCCGGGCTGCAATCCCTGTGGATTCTTCAGGCCATCGCCTAAATTAGTACTTGAGGACCATACTGGGAAGTGATTCTCTCTTGCCGCTGCCACTCTGCACAGTTACTTGTGTTGTCTTGTTGCTAATGTCTCCAGTATGAGCCCTCAGCATATATAGGCACAGTTTAATCAAGTTTCAGTATTTTAGAAGCAAATTCCAGTTCACTCACTTTGCTCAAAATTTGCACTGCCATCCTTATCATCTACATCCTCCGTGGTTGATATGGTGCCAGAAGAAGGAATCCTGGGCAATTTTCTGGAAAAATCACCTATGGAAGCATTGGAGATAAAATCTTAATGAAATATTTCATTCAGAACTAATGTCCAAACATATAGTAAAAATGCGTTAAAACTTTAGAGTTCAATTAGCACAACGCCTTCAATGTGTGTTTCTGGATAGGTTAAATTTGCAGCGTTTTCACTATATTCCTTTGGTAGAGATGGTTGGGATGGGGGAAGGCTAAGCTGCAGAAGAAAGAGGCTGTTTTTGTATTAATTTCCAAGCAGGATGCAGTTCAGATTTAAAGGAACAAGGAGTCACCAAGTGAGATTTGGTGTTGCAATTTGCTTCGAGAGAATCTCAAAGTGGACTGGAGTGAATTTTGAAGGATACTGCAAGACTTGACCTCTGTACCTCAGGGAAAATGGAACTTCCTTGAAAGGTGTGTGTGTGTGTGTGGCTGTGGATTTTGAACATTAAGATACCGCATCTTTCAGAAGCTTGCCAGTGTGTTTTTTCAATGTTTGTATTTGTTGATGTGAAAATACCTTTTTTTTAGTTTTGTGTTATTAGTTGCCTATAAAGTTGTTGGGTCCATGTTGATACTAATTTGTTTGTTACAGTAAAAGCCTTAAAGTGGAAGATCTTGTCCAGCAATTCTTGAGCAAGGCTACCTGTTGCAGATGAAGGGGAATCCAGGCCAACGCCTCCTCCAACACTGTCTGTATCACTCATGGTAGTAGGCCAGGATTTGTGTACCTGGTGACTGCGGACTCCTGAAAGGAACAATTCAGGTGCAGAGATGACTCCGTTAATCAACATTCTCATGCACAGAAACTTTGTCCTCAACTCTCACCACCTGCATTCTAGTGTTTTAGCTTAATTCAACGTAACATATTCATCTTGTTGTACTTCGTTACTAATAGTCAGTCATCACAGCCAGTACTCCTTCAAGAAAGGGAAGCTTCGGAATACAACAAAATGAATAAAACTGCTCTTCCCAACTACGTTGTCAAAAGGATATTAAATAATAGTTACAAGGCAGGCATCGAAAGGCAATGATTTGAATTAGCGATTGAATAAGTATTTGACCTACGTTCCCACAACCTCAGGTAACCCCCTTAAGATAATTACTTACTTGAACCTTCCTTGATATAAATTTTCTTCATTCTTTAGTTGTTTCCATGTAGAATTAACAATGCATTTAAGTGTATGTCAGTACGATTATGTAAATTTAACTTACAATTTATTTACATGTCTTTTGAATTTACAAACGCTTACAGAGGGACCATAAATGTTACTTAAATTAAATGCTTCACTTATATTGACTTCAATCATTCAGCAGGAGTACCTCAAATAGCTTTTGGCCTATAGTCACATTGTGCACAAAGGTAGAAAGTTGTCCTGTCCTCAAACAAGAGCATAAATCCATCCTGACCAATTACTGCCCTATTGGTCTACTCTCAAACATCAGCAGAATGATGGAACAAGTTGTCCACAATGCCATCACACAGCATTTACAAAGAAATAACCTCTTCACTGATGTTCAGTTTGGGTTCCACCAGGGCCACTCATATACAATTATAGCCTTGGTTCAAATGTGGATAAAGAGCTGAATTCCTGAGGTGAGGTGAGAATGACAGCCCTTGTCATCAAGGCCACATTTGACAGACTGTGGCATCAAGAAGCCCTAGCAAAATTAGGGTCAATGAGAATCAGGAGGAAAACTGTCTCCTGGTTAGAGTCATATCTGACACAAAGGAATACGATTGTGGTTGTTGGCGGTCAGTCATCTCATCTCCAGGACATTAAGGAGTACACCAAGATTGTAGGCTCAATCATCTTCCACTTCTTCAGTGACTTTCTCTGTATCATAACTAAGGTCAGAAGTGGGGATGTTCAGTACCATTAGTGACTCCTCAGATACTAAAGCAGTCCATGTCCAAATGGAACAAGACCTGGACAAGTAATATTCATGCTAACGAATGCTAGACAATGATCATCTCTGAAAAGAGAGAATATAACTATCACCTCTTGACATTCAATGGTATTATCATTACTGAATCCTTACTATCGACATCCGAAGGAGTTATTATTGACCTGAAATTGAACTGGACCAACCAAACAAATACTGTGGATTCAACAGTAGATCAGAGGCCAGGAATTCTGCAGGAAGCAATTCATTTCTTGCCTCCCCAAAGCTTGTCCACCATCTACAAGGCACAAAAAATGTGCGTGAAGCACAGCTTGCATTTGCCTAGATGGGTGTAGCTCCAATAGCATTCAAGAAGGTTGACACCATCAGGACAAAGCAGTCCACTTGCTTGTCCATCCATCATCTTCACCATTCACTCCATTCACCACTGACTTAGTGACAGCAATGTGTACCATTACAAGGTATGCTACAGTCTCTCACTATGGCTCCTTCAACAACACCTTCCAAACTCAATTTCTGCCACCTACGACAGGAGCAGCAGGTACATGGGAACACCACCTGCAAGCTCTGATCCAAATTATATACCATCCAGAGAATGTGCATTTTTGCAATTTTTCTTGCCTTCTTAATCCTGACTTTTTGACACCAGCTCATCACTCCTAGGGATGGGAGTAGTCATTTTCCTTTGCTTCTTATTTTTGGTTAAACATAAGTGCATTCTTTACATGGATGTTCAAAGCTCTGGCATGACAAAGAGTGGAAATCTTTCTTTCCACTTTCAGGAACAGGGTGAGGAGGCAGGTCCCAGGCCTCTCTAGGCTGGAATAAAGATCAAACTTGCACTGTTGGCATTGTTGAGTCACACACAGTAGCCATTGAGCTAACCAACTCCCACCAGAGTCAATATTGTAGTTAAACTAAAATTCCAACAGCTATTCCCATGTTATTAAGTTTAAAAAACATGCTAAGAATTGACACTAGCATCTAAACTGTAATGGATTTTCTGTGACATTATGGAAATCTTCAGTTTTATTTCCCCTTCTTGAGAAATGCTGTGAAATCTTGTTCAGCTGGGGAATTTATTCTATTTATCTAACAAACGTTTGGTGCTACAATCAAGTACTAAAACAAAACTGTTAATATTACTTCTAAAGTTAGGATCACTTATGCTTAAAACTGGAAGTGGTGTGAACCATTAGGGTACAACTTTAGTTTGATACATTCCCCACAAAAACGTATACAGCTGGAAACTACAGCCAAGGGCGAAGGTTTACCTCTTCTTTCAGTAGGTCCTCCACCTCGTGCTTCCTTCTGAGTCAATCCTCCCTCTGGACTGCCGGGTTCATCCACCGAGGACTGGGACTGCATCTCATTTGCAGTATTGGCAGCAAATTCATTTGCATTGAAACTACCCTTACGAGGCCTTACATGGGGAGACCTAAAAAAGAGAAAAAATAGATTAAGTCTTAACGTTAGGTCTAAAGGAGCACAACTTGACAGCACTCTCTCAGCACTGTAATGAATTGTGATCCTCGATTTGTCCCCACATTTATCGTGGGCCTTGAATGGAAAAGAACCAATACTGCTCAACTTTCAATTCTGTCAATGCCAAATGTCTGTTTTTCCTATGGATCTTTGAGCATCACCAGCATTTTCTGTGACTTCAGTCAAATGCTGCCTTTGAGGTAGGCAGTCTCACCTCACCTCTGGAATTCAGCTCTATGCTTGGATCAAGAGATTTAGAGTTTAGCAGCCCTGGCGGAATTCTAACTGAGCACTGATTATCGAAGCTATTGGTGATTCAGTACAGCTTGGTAGCATTATTGATGGCACCTTCCATCATTTTATTGAAAGTAGTACAGTGCAGCAGCAACTGGCCAGATTGGATTGGTCCTGCATTTTATGGCTAGGACATAACCGACAATTTCCCACTTTTCCGGGTAGACATCAATGTTATAGCTGTACTGGAACATCTCAGCTCAGGACCCAACTAGTTCTGGAGTGCAAGTTTGTGCAACACTGTGGAACATTGTTAGGGTCCGCAGCCTTTGCTGTGTCCAGTGCTTCCCAAATATTCCCCAGCCACACCCCCACCAAAACAAACATGATTCCATTTCCAGGCTTGAAAATGTCATGACTCTTCAGTCAAACCATGAGCCTGGGGACGGGAGGAGCTCCAGGCTGGCCATTGCTACTTAATTGCTCTTGACCATACTTCAGGTCTGGATCCATTTTGAAAGTCCCTGGTGAACTCCAATGTTCATCAGTTTCTTGATGTCACACAGAATGTCTTGAATTGACTGAAGACTGGCATCCACAGTACTGAGAATCTCAGAGTAAGGCTCTAATGGTTCATTGAGTCAGCACTTCTAGTTTCAGCCTTGACTCTTTCTTCGCACAAGTAAAAATGTAGAGAAAAACCCTAAACTTCCACAAAACGTAGCTCAACTCAATTTTGAGAAGTTGAGATTTGTTCTTTTAAAAAGAATATACAAATTCACCACTTCATTACTAATGTAGTGTTCATCTATCATCAAACATGCTCTTCCTATCCTAGTCCATTACTCTAGAAAAAGTAAACAATGGCAGAATTGCTCAATGTGCTTGCAAGAAGCTCCTCTCTCCAGTTTCATAAAATGATTTCAAATATGTCAATGCCTCCATTACATTAAAGGACAGGGGAGCATCATTCTAAAGTATTCAGCACTGTATGCTTAGAGTGCAGCCAGTTCTCAGCAACGTTTTGAACCATATAGATATTGGAACGTTGATGGTCACAAAAGATTGAAGTGCACCGTATATGGAGTGTTTATCATCACTCCCTTTTACAGCTTAGAATGTCATCCAAATGACAGACAATGTCAGTAATTCAATCTCCTCAGAGTCTGCTTTTCTAATTGAACGATAAGGAAGCTACAAAGGACATGTGGGAATCCACAAATATTTGAGTTTCTTTCAAACTCTTCAAGATCTAACCAATTCCAGTTCAGACATACTTTTGATTGTAAACACCAATGACAAGCAATTAGTGAACTCAGAGAGGCCATTCTCAAACCAACTGCAGGGAGGAAAAAAAAAGGAGCAATTCAGCTTCCAGGTTTTCTCTTTCTCTGGGGCAGTGCTCATCTTTATCAAAGCAGCTTGACTGAGATCAATAATGGGAGATTGAGATGCTCACTGTGCTGCTCCTGGCTGCTCAGAGGGTCCGCGCTCGCTGATTTCAAGGAAATTTAGAGGGAATGTAACAACCATTATGACAATGTTTTTGGGTCAAAAAATCAGACCACTAAGACTTCATAATCATACTAACAAAATAGTTTTTCACTTTTGACTGACTTTGTTCCTTCATTATTGCTGTTTTTTGGCACATGAGCCCAAGGTGTGGTTTAGTTGGTAGCACCTTTTGACTCTGAGACGGTTGTGGGTTTAAGTTCCACTTGAGAAAATGGAGCAATAAAATCAATAATGTCATTATAATGACATTCAGAGTAGTACTGAGGGCATGCTGCACCGTTGGCAATGTCATCTTACAGATGAGACATTCAACAGTCTGTCCCCTCAGTTAGACATGAAAATTTCCCTTGAGGTGTCCTTGCCAATATTCATCATGGCTATGTGCAAATTAGCTAGTGTTTCACAGATAACATTACTGAGCATACTTAAAAAAACTTCATTGCAAAGCAAGTTAAGATAGTCTGAGGTTATTGAAAGACACTATATGTATCTAAGATTTTTATATTCTCTTGATAAGTAGGAAGCATGGAGCAGGAAAGATGCATGAAACAGTTTCATCCAAATGAGACTCGACTTGAAAGGCAGCTGAAACAGAAAGTGTTGAAGAAGGAAACTTACACCAAACAATAGAAATTCTGAAATAATTTTAAAAAGGCTGATGCTTTAGGTACAGACCTTTCCTCTTGGGTCTAAATGCAACACACAAACTATTTCCTTTCTGTTGTTGATAGGTTGATTATATGTACTGCATTATTTTCTCTGAAAAGCAGAAAGCATCATGGGGTACGTGAGTCAGCTGGATACATTTCAAGAGAGAACGAATGATGCATATGGCAGGAAAGCGGGAATTTAAGGTTGATCAGTTACAGGGATGGGTTTGTTGGGCTGAACAGCCTGTACCGGCTCTGTGTTCTTAACTTACACATAGTAGCAAAAGTAACACATGCTGGCCAATCAATAACTTTTTATTTCAAGTTACCGTTAGGGTGTCCTAAGCTTTGGGAATAGAAGAAGTGTTTCTCTAAGGATTTCCTGAGGTTCAAGACCCATATTATTAATCCAATTGTTTATCTTTGTCCAGGCCTTTACAATGCTCCAGGACCTCATCCAGCAGTAGCACACATTACCTCAGATTCTCTGTTTAGTGTCACACTGTTAAACAGTGCCAGCCTACAACAGGTAGTTAGAGCAGATTATCTTAATAGCTGATAGGATGTCATTCAATAAATAGACAGAAAACAGAAATGGGCCCTGACTTGCTAGCACTAGTGATTGATGACTTTTCATATGATACATTCAACTGATAACTAGACTTGTGTTTAACCAGAATGATTTTATAGTTACAAAGCTTTTGCGACTTTCTTTAAGTCATACAGAGACTTCAAAAGCATATTGCTGCATGGTAAAATAGAAGGAGGCTGCTTTAATGCTGATGAGATAGTTAGGCATCAAACTTGACTAAACAGTGGCATTAATTTGTCAAATATTTGCCTACAAAGCATCTGCACCCCAAAAGAACAATGTTTTGTGGAACACAATAGGGACAGCACAGTGGCTCAGTGGTTAGCACTGCTGCCTCACAGCATCAGGGACCTGGGTTCAATTCCAGCCTTGAATGACTGTCTGTGTGGAGTTTGCACATTCTCCCCATGTCTGTCTGTGCTCTGGTTTCCTCCCACAGTCCAAAAGAGTGCAGGTAGGTGGATTGACAATGCTATGGTGTCCAGGGGTGTGTAGGTTAGGTAGATTAGCCATGGGAAATGCTGGGTTACAGGGATAGGGTAGAGGGGTAACTTTGGGCGGGATGCTGTTTGGAGAGTCAGTGTGGACTAGTTGGGCTGAATGGCCTGGTTCCATGCTGTAAGGATTCTATGAAAGACAAACCATTTCTGTGCAAGACAATGGGCCAGATCTTCTGTGCACTCTGACCTTTCACAATGGCACACAGATGTGGGGGAGCCTGTACCCAATGTCAACATTTCTCACTTTTGCCAGCAAGTGAAAGAGGGTGGGATGTGAATCTCACAGAGGGGAGACTCTCCTTAGCAAGGCCATTTGAATTTAGCACAGAGTTCCAGTTGACCCCATTTTAACTGTCCAAGGACGTATGCCTGCAATGTGGGAATCTCAAATTGGTTCACAAGGGAAATATCTTTTCTGTAACTTGGAATGTTAGTTGCGTATTAAGTTATGTTTAGTTTATGTTCATTTTTGTTTGTTATAGTAATAGTCTTAAAAATGTGAAATCCCTCTATATGGTTCTTTTCATTGGTTGCTGAGAAATTAATATTTCTTTTCAAAAGAAATTGGTCACCACGGGGATCAGCAATACTCACAAGTGTAACTGTTAAACATATCACACTATCAGTGTCCTAATAGCACCTTGTCTTGTTTTACTTTCCTTAAAGCTCAAAGTACCAACAGGGAATGAGACAGGGCTGATCTGATCATTTTTCAAGAAGAGACAGATGAACACAGGCACGCCCCATGTGTCTTGGTGTCAATTCAAAATATGACTCAAAAGTCACAGTTTACTTGGATATCAAATTGCTATGGAGTTACTAGATTGAAGGTCCTCTGTTACTTTTTCAAGAGCTATAGATTTCAATCGTGCCAGTGACAGCCAACCCCGAGAATGAATAAATGAAAATCATATCCATTGTGTTTATTTTACTTGATTTACTTTCTCACAAGTACTTCTCGCTAATATAAAGAATTCAGTTGGATAACCGAGAGCTAATAATAGAAGTACATACCACGTTATCTGAGATGAATAGGATTCAAAATCGTAATGTGTTTCCGTTTCAGCTTCCATCTGGAGGTCTTTGACGTAAGACGCATACTGCTGGCCTGGGTCATATAACTTGCTGCTCTCACAGAGTGTCTGGAAGTGCACAGGCAGCGGTGCCGTTTGCATGTGCATTCTCTGGTAGTACGAGATGGTGGCCTACAGATTCCAATAAAGAGACTTAAATAGCGTAAGCAGACTTTGGGTTTTTTCTAAAGTAAGTGGAGGAAATTAATAAGTAATAACCAGAATGCTCACTTGCAGATGATTGCTGACACTTCTTTTAAAAATCAAGTTTCTCCACCACTTAATCATTGTTAGATACCTTGCATTTTTGAAGGGCCTTTCACAACCATCATCTCTGGTTTACAACTAATTAAGTACTCTCCGAAATGCAGTCAGTGGTGCAATAGAGGAAACAGCTGCCAACATGCGTAGAGCAAACTCTCACAAACAGCTATGGGAATGTTCTACATTCACCTCAGCAGGCAGATGGGGCCTTGAATTAATCTCATCTCATCTGAAAGACAGCACCTCCGACAATGCAATGTTCCCTCAATACCGCACTAGAGATTCGGCCCTGACTTTGGTAGTCAAGCCCCACAGTGAGACTTGGACCAAGAATTTTGTGATTCAGAGGCAAAAGGGCTATCAACTGAGCCACAGCATTGAATAAATGGCTGAGTCATATGTACATGGAAGGTTCTAGAGCAGGGGGTATTGCTTGGTGGTAAAGCACTTGAATGCAAATCAAGGGGTCCCCAATTCTTTACATAGCCACCTTGACGGATCGCACAGCCTCTGCTGAGATAGGCATAGAGCTGGTACAATTGACCTCAGTGTTTGGAATTGATATAGGGTGGGTGTGACCTAGTCTCTGAGAGTTTACTCGCTTTCAGTGAATACTGAATAGGGCTAGTACCCTGTCACCAACAATCAAAATGTATGCTTCTTATAAATAGGTTTTAAATAATACTAAACCTAACCTGCAAAGATTAAATGAAAAAAAAAATGTAAACCAAAGCAATTGTCTGGAAATAAGTTTAGATCATAGAATCCCTACAGTGTGGAAACAGGCCATTCAGCCCAACAAGCTCACACTGCCCCTCTGAAGAGCATCCCACCCAGACCCATTCCCCTACATTTCCCATGTCTAACCCACCTAATCTACACATCCCTGAACACTATGGGCTATTCAGCCTGGCCAATCCACCTAGCCTGCACATCTTTGGACTGTGGGAGGAAACGGGAGCACCCAGAGGAAACCCATGCAGACATGGGGAAAATGTGCAAACAGTCAGTCGCCCGAGGCTGGAATCGAACCTGGGTTCCTGGCACTGTGAGGCAGCAGTGCTAACCACTGAGCCACCATGCCTCCCTCATATATCAGTATATAACCATACAATTTGTTGCCCTCTTTCTTTCCCTTAGGGTAGGATTTTAAATTAAAGAATTTAAAGAAAAATGAGCTGGTTTTCTTGGACCCTCTTTCATCCGGCAACAATTGTGCATTCAGTTCACTGGGCCAGCATTGACAACTTTGAATAAATCACCCTTTGTCTGTCTCATCAGCAGAAATAAGGGCAGGGAGCAACAGCACAGCTCCAAGTCCCAACAATGGAGACATGTGACCTGACAGAGATTACCAATTCTTCCATCTTATGACAGTGCTGCACACCTGGAGCCACACCCCTGGGTTCCAGCCTTAGGATTCTCTGGCTACTTCAGAAGAAAGCCTTCAGTCCGGGAGCTCCCAAAACAAGTCAGATGCCAGTTTCATAAGGCAACTGCCCCACCGGCCTGCCACATCAACATAAGAAGAAGCAAGAAACCCACTTCTTCATCATTGATACATTGGTTCTACCCAGAAAACCTGTAGCAACAGGACTGACCAAGATCTAGCACAATGGGTCTTCATTCTCTTTTTCCTGAATATCACTCTCATGAAACACTTTGAGATGGCTTATTACTTTAAAGAGGTTCTATTTGAATATAAATTGTTGTTGTAAATGTACCTGATCGATCTACATTAAGTAATCTGTAAAGTTAGTCCCTATGTATTTCTCCTTGCACAATAATCAATTTTCTGGTCATGTGTTACAGATTACTCAAAGTCTAAGTTGCTGTGACAATATGCACTTTCACATGCATGTTGCATCCCTGGACATTACAGGGCAATTTGGCATGGTCAATCCATCTAACCTGCACATCTGTGCTCTGTGGGAGAAAACTGGAGTACCCAGAGGAAACCCACACAGACATGGGGAGAAGGCACAAAATCCACATAGTCACCCAAGGGTGGAATCAAACCCAGGTCCCTGGCGCTGTGAGGGGGCCACCATGCTGCCATATTCGACTAGAACCCAGAGTTTCTGGTTCAGGGTCAGGGAATCTGAGCAACTCTGTTGTACAACAATAGCTTCCAATATTTAAATTATAAACCTAAGTAGAAATGCTTCCTCACTCCGTGCTTTCCAAAGCGTGTTTATTTGCCTCACTCAGTCTCCCAGGAACATTCCACTGTGTTGGTATCCTTCATTTCCCAAAGAAATTCGTGGAAGTGTGAATCTACTCTTGATGGTCAAACACTTTCCCTGGCAAAAGTAATGTTTGAATGCATCTTTGTTCATTTTCATCAAGCCCACTAACTGTGGGGTCCAGAGAAAGCAAATGACAAGGCAGGACTAGAAGCTGATGAAATCTGATATGCTGGTACAATATTTGCAACTTGCCAACTATTGCCAGTTTAGCTTTTGCCCACACCAACTTAAAAATGAATGTTTTAACCTCAGCGGTGAATTTTGAACTGCCCTCATCCTTCCTGTGAACACTTGCTGTCTCTCTAGCTTCCTCTTTCAGCTCAAACAGCAACAACAATATTAAAAAGTGAAATAAATGAAGCTATACTCACCGACTTCAATGTCTGGTCACTCTGTTTGATGATTTCCTGGATCTGTCGCAGCACATTCACCTTCACATCTTCCAGCTCTTGTTTTTGAGTCTTGGCATCTGCAATACATGTTCTGTATGTCGCCTCAGCTTCATCAGCCTGCAAAATACAAGCATTATTAAAATATCTATTCCAATATAATTGGAAGCAAGTTAATACCAGAGAGGTCTGAGAGCACACAGAAAGCTGTGAATTTTTGAGCCCCAAAAGTTTGTTAAAATTAGATCAATTCAAAATTTCAAAATTGAGTTGCATGGATTTTGGTTAGGCTATAGGCAATTGGGTTATATTACGGAGGCTGGCAGGTGAAGATGTTAAGAGACACAGATCTAATCCACAATCGAATTTAATGACAGTAGCTTCAAGCAAATGTAGATGGTTTTCCTGCTCCTCCATACTTGAACAAAACGTGATTCAGATCACTTCAGTTAAATAATCACCTATTGATCTCCTACTCAATTCCATCAAGCAAACAGAAAGGATAAAAATCAAATTAGAGACATAGAGATATACAGCACAGAAACAGACCCATCAATCTAACTTGTCCATGCCGACCAGATATCCTAAATTAATCTCGTCCCATTCACCAGCATTTGTCCCAAAATCATGTACCTATCCAGATGTCTGTCAAATGTCGTAATTGTACCAGACTTCACCACTTCTTCTTGGGCTTCATTCCGTACACGCACGAACCTCTGTGAGAAAACGTTGTCCCTGAGGTCCCTTTTAAATCTTTCCCCTCTCATCTTAAACCTATGTCCTCTGGTTTTGGAATCTACTACCATGGGAAAAACACCTTGGCTATTCACCCTATCCATGCCCCTTATGAGTTTATAAACCTCTATAAGGTCACTCCTCAGCCTCTGATGCTCCAGGGAAAATAGCCCCAGCCTATTCAGCCTCTCCCTATAGCTCAATCCTTCCAACCTTAGCAACATTCTTGTAAATCTTTTCTGAATCCTTTCAAGTTTCACAGCATCCTTTCTACAGCAGGGAGGCCAGAATTGCACACAGTATTCCAACAGTGGCCTAACCAATGTCCTGTACAGCCACAACATGACCTCCCAACTCCTATACTCAATGCACTAATCAAGGAAGGGAAGCATACCAAAAGCCTTCTTCACTACCCGGTCTACCTGCGATTCCACTTTCAAGGAATTATGAGCCTGCACCCCAAGGTCTCTTTGTTCAGCAACTCTCCCCAGGACTTGACCTTTAAGTGTACAAGTCCTATCCTAATTTGTCTTTCCAAAATGCAGCCCCTCACGTTTATCTAAATTAAACTCCATCTGCCACTCCTCGGCCCATTGGCCCATCTGATCAAGATCCCATTGTACTCTAAGGTAATCTTCTTTACTGTCCACTACACCTCCAATTTTGGTGTCATCTGAAAACTTACTAACCACACCTCCTATGTTCACATCCAAATCATTTCTAAAAATGACAAAAAGCAGTGGATCCAGCACTGATCCTTGTGGCACACCGCCGGTCACAGGCCTCCAGTCCACCACCAGCCTCTGTGTCCTATCTTCAAGCCAAATTTCTATCCAAAGGGCTAGCTCTTCCTGGATTCTACATGATCTAACCTTACTAACAGTCCACCACGCAGAACCTTGTTGAACGCATTGCCAAAGTCCATACAGACAAAATTCAGCACTCTGCTTTCATCAATCTTCTTTGTCACTTCTTCAAAAAACTCAATCAAGTTAGTGAGACACTATTTCCAATGCACAAAGCCATGCTGACTAACCCTAATCAGTCCTGGCCTTTCCAAATACATGTAAATTCTGTGCCTCAGAATCCCCTCCAACAACTTACTCACCACCAACGTCAGGCTCACCGGTCTACAGTTCCCTGGCTTTTCCTTACCACCTTTCTTAAATAATGGCACCACATTATTCAACCAGTCTTCCTGCACCTTCCTGATTATTGATGATACAAGTATCTCAGCATAGAGCCCAGCAATTACTTCCCTAGCTTCCCACAAAGTTCTGGCGTACACCTGGTCAAGTCCTGGAGATTTATCCACCTTTATGTGTTTTAAGACGTCCAGCACTTCCTCCTCTGTAATATGGACACTTTTCAAGATATCATTATTTATTTCTCCAAGTCCTCTAGCTTCCATATCCTTCTCCACAGTAAAAGCTGGTGTGAAATACTTGTTGTTTTTGAAGAAATTCTGAAAATGTAGATTTGTGTGTTTGGGAAATTTTGGCTGTGCATTGCATTTCCCCATGAGTGTAATGTTAACTTCAGGGAAATTCCAATGTGCTCACTAGTCCAATGTTTATAACTGAACCCTACACTTCCTCCAGAATTCTTCCTAGTTCCCTGGAGAAGTAATGAAACTACCCATAATGTTAGAAAAGCTAGAATGTTAGAAGGATCATGAATTACAGGGACCATGGATTAAAGCTGCGGGAACAGCAAGGTATTGAAGGCAAACTGAAATAAATACAAACCGCACCCTGGCAGCTGGAGAAAGCCAAGACAAATGTGAAAGAAATTGTCAACAAGTGGCACAGAATTGTACTACACTGTTGGAAATTGCTCCAAATGCTACAAGATACATGGCAGTGGCTCGCTTTGGAGTTTTAGTCATTCCCCCACTGTAATTCCAGCAACAGGTCAATGCAATTATCAGGGAAAGGCAACTTAGCCAGGCAACTCCTGATGCCAGTTAAAGACTGGTAGCTTCACATGAAAAGTAGTATTTAAAAAGGCTTCATACAATCCCATGAATGTATTTATTAGGTATGTAGTTTCAATATAAGCCACAATGCAGACGGTTACTAACGAAAGAGTTTCAGATTATAGCAAACCAAGTAAACTGACATTCAATTCATTGTTATCAAGGTACAAAATGTTCTAACCTTCCAGCAAGATATTCAGGTTACCCGACGTAGCTTTCAAATGTCAAAACTAAGTATTCCTTATTGGGACACAAATTTTGCTAGCTGTGTTGGGGCAGCTGTTACATAGAACATGGAACAGGACTAGGCCCTTCGGCCAAACATGTCTGTGCTGACCATGGTGCCATCCTAAACTAATCCCAGCTGCCTGCACATGGTCTGTATCCCTCTATTCCCCATCTGTTCATGTGTCTGTCTAAGTGCCTCTAAACTTTGCTGTTGTATCTGTTTCCACCACCTCTCCTGGAAGTGCATTGCAAGCACCCACCGCCCTCTGTGTAAACAAAAAACTTCCCTTGCACATTTCTTTTAAACTTTCCCCCTTTCAACCTATACCCCCTAGTATTTTACATATCCACCCTGGGAAAAAGACTCTGACCATCCACCCAATCCCTGCCTCTCATGATTTGATAGACTTCTATCAGGTTGCCCCTCATCCTTCAAAGCTCGAGTGAAAACAATCCAAGTTTGTCCGACCTTTCTTAATAGCTAATACATTCCAATCCAAGCAACATCCTGGTAAACTTCTTTTGCCTGGTCGTCAAAGCGCAGTGCGGTGATCAGAACTGCGCACAATACTCCAACTGTGGCTTAACTAAAGGTTCATACAGCTGCAACACGACTTGCCATCATTTATACTCAATTCCCTAACCAACCAAGGCAATCATGCTTACAACCAACTTATCCACTTGTGTTGCCATGTTCACAGAGCTATGGACTTGCACCCCAAGATCTCCCTGTATATCGATGCTCCTAAGGGTTCTGCCATTTACTGTATACCTTCCTCTGGTATTTGACCTCCCAAAGTGCATCACCTCATACTTGTTTGGAATAAACTCTGCTATTTCTCCATCTCACATTCCGACTGATCTATATCTTGCTGTGACCTTTGACAACCTTCCACAATATCCACAACTCTACCAATTTTTGTGCCGTCTGCCAATTTACTAATTAATCATAGATTTTCATGCAAATTACATATATTACTTATATACATACTACAAATTACATATATACGTACATATATATATTACAACCAACAGAAGTCCCAGCACTGATCTTTGCAGAACACCATTGGTCACGGACCTCACATCAGAAAAACACCTCTCCACAACTACTCTGTCTTCTATGACCAAGCCAATTATGTATCCAACTTCCCAACTCACCAGGTATACACAGAAACATCACGTCTATATTATAAACTATAAAAAGTATCACTGGTGACTATAGAAGTATGCTTTACATGTTCATATCATCATTTCCCTTCAGTTTTACAAAGAATGCAATGTTTGTTTGAAATCAACTAAAATCACTGATAAATTAAAGAACAAAGGATTATGATATGGCTTTTGGATATCATACAATAAGATCAAAAGTTTCTTCATCATCTGAATTTCCAACTGAACCTGTTCTACAATACTAATATGTCACTAGAGCTTGCAAAATTACTTATTCTGTATGTTGAAGTGTAATATTCCACACAATGTCTGCATTGTCATCCAATTGCTGGAATATGTAATGAGTTCTCACTGGCATCAGATCATCTTGACTTCAAGACAAGTGTATGCATGGTGTATATCAAGTTGACTGGTCTTTAGTTGTCTGCTATCTGCTTAATGAGATAAGGATTTTAATCTTGTTTGTGGTCTGAATTATCTCAGACTATTTATCTATTTGGTTCAAATGCTCCCAGTGTCTATCAGGTTCTGGCCTCTCTAAGATTATTCTGTAAATTGACAAATTAAAATCTTTTTAACAAATTAAATGTTTGGGGCAGTGTATTTTCCTGTGCTCTGCATAAGCAATACTGTCTACATCTACATTTTCCTAAAAAAGAAAACATCACAAAAACCCACGCAGACACGGGCAGAATGTGCAAACTCCACACAGTCACCCGAGAATGGAATTGAGCCAAGATAATACTGAATGGTGCAGCAGGGTCAAAGGGCAAATGGCCTATTCCTGCTCCTATTTTCTACAATTCGGTGGCACAAAGGGGTGAAACGATTAGTCGGGAGATGTGATGGAATGCATAAAAAAAGTGCAGAGGCCACATTTTCAAACAAAAAAATTAGACTAACACAGAGGTCCACTGATAAAACGTTATAAAATGTTTGAAAACATGCTCACAATAAGCCAGCGATAACCCAGTGTGGAGCTGGAGGAACACAGCAGACCCTTTGTCCCAACCTGAAACATCAACTCCCCTGCTCCTCTGATGCTGCCTGGCCTGCTGTGTTCCTGTGTTGGGATGAAGGGTCTGCTGTGTTCCTCCAGCTCCACACAGGGTTATCTCTGACTCCAGCATCCGTAGTTCTTGCTATCTCACAATGAGCCTGTATATTCGCCCGTCGCGCCTCACCTTGTTGCGTGCATCCTCCTCTGTCCTCCGCTTCTTGTCTAGAGTCTTGCTAGCATTGCTGCTGCTTGCACTCTGCTGGTCCTCTTCTGCTTTCACCGTCAGGTACATGGCCTTCTCATGTTCCTCGGAACGTTGCATGTACGCCTGCTTTGCCTTTTTAAGGTTTGCCTCAGCTTCTTGCTGTGAGGTGATAACAGAAAGTCAGTCCGATTTACTGGCCAGAGGCCAGATACTGCCTGTCCAGGTCGGGTGGAACTCTTGCTAGTTTGCAAAAGAAAGTGTTGAGGCATTTGTTATTATTACTGAGCAACAGAATGTCAATTCAAATACATTCAGAAGTGGGCTCACACTGTTAAATTTACATTTGCAGATTGGATTAAACTAAATGAGTAGAAAAAGAACATAATCAGAGCAGGTATGGGCCATTCAGACCCACCACTCACTAAGATCATGGCTGTTCTGCCCCAGGCCTCAACGGCTGTTTTGTTCCTCACAGAACTGCTCAATAATCTGTAAGTCAATCCCTTCAAATGCTTTCAATGATTTGGCCTCCACAACTGTCTGGGGTACAGAGTTCCAAATATTCACTAACCTCTAAGAGAAGAAATTCCTTTGCATTTCAGTTTTATATGAGTTTATTTTGTAATTATATCCTCTAGCTCAAGATTCCTACATTAGAGCATCTTGTCAACAACTACTTTGTCAAAGCCCCTAAGAATCTTGTGTTTCACAAGATCATCCCTTATTCTTCTAAACTCCAAGGAATGAAGGCCTAACCTGTTTAGCCATTAAGTTAACCCCTTCATTCCAAGAATCAGCTGAGTGAATTGCTTTTGAACAGCCTCCAATGCCCAGTCATAAATACAGGAACCAAAACTGTACTCCAGGTGCATCCTCACCAACACCCTGTATAGTTGTAACAAGATTTCCATATTTGCAAACTCCAAACTCCTATCAATATAAAAAAAATGAAGAATCAGATCTGCGATGCCAGGAAAGTATGTGCAGATGCCATTCTGGCCCAGGTAAGGTTTAGTTATTGATGGCTTACTCAATCATTAGATCTTTTTCAATCTTTTCCATTTTTTTTCATTTTAAGTTTAATTTTAAATTGTTAGTGCAGTGGATAGCGAAGAAGGTTACCTCAGAGTACAACAGGATCTCGATCAGATGGCCCAGTGGCCGAGGAGTGGCCGTTGGAGTTTAATTTAGATAAATGTGAGGTCATGCATTTTGGAAAGGCAAATCAGGGCAGGACTTATACACTTCATGGTAAGGTCCTGGGGAGGGCTGCTGAACAAAGAGACCTTGGAGTGCTGGTTCATTGTTCCTTGAAAGTAGTTGCAGGTAGACAGGATAATGAAGGCGGCTTTTGGTATGATTGCCTTTATGGGTCAATGCATTGAGTATAGGAGTTGGGAGGTCATGTTGAGGCTGTACAGGACAGTGGTTAGGCCACTTTTGGAATACTGCATTCAATTTTAATCTCCCTGTTTTGGAAGGATGTTGTGGAACTCAAAAGGGTTCAAAAAAGATTTACAAGAATGTTGCTAAGGTTGGATGGATTGAGCTGTAGGGAGAGGCTGAATAGGCTGGGGCTATTTTCCCTGCAACACCAGATGCTAAGGGGAGCCCTTATAGAAGTTTATGAATTCATGAGGGGCATAGATAGGGTGAATAGCCAAGGTATTTTTCACAGGTAGAGGATTCCAAAACTAGAGGGCATAGGTTTAAGACAAGAGGAGATGGATTTAAAAGGGACCTAAGGGACAGTGTTTTCACAGAGAGGGTGGTGCGTGTATGAAATGAGCTGCCAGAAGAAGTGGTGGAGTCTGGTACAATTACAATATTTAAAAGGCATCTGGGTGGGTATTTGAATAGGAAGGGATTAGAGGAATATGGGCCTAATGCTGGCAAATGGGACTAGATTAAATTAGGATATCTGGTCGGCATGGACGAGTTGGACCAAAGGGCCTGTTTCGATGCTGTACAGCCCAAGACTCTCTGACTCTATAAAGGCCTAAATTCCATTTGTTGCCTTAATGAGCTGCTGCACCTGCACGTTTCATACAGAACACCCAGATCCCTCTTCACTGTACTCTGTTTGGAGTCTCACTCATAAATTAGCATCATATTGAACCAGAGATAACACAGTGTGGAGCCAAGTACTTTAAGTGAGCAAACTCTGTTGGTCAGACTGATACTGGGGATCATTAAGGCATGAATTTGTTTCTAATCTTTCCAACAGCTGTTTTCACCAAGGGAATAATGATGCCAAAAGTTTTCTCGTTATATGAGTCATTTTAATGAGCTCACATTTCTTTCAAAGAAGTTTGATCTTTACACAAACAGTAATACAATAAGTAAAAATAAGGTTGAGCCAATCAAAATAAATCCTAACAAAAGGATTTGACCTTTAAAGTCAAGGTTTAACTCTGAAAGTTACTCTGTACCTTCATTTGATTTGGTGGAAATTTCTTGCAAATCCTTTGATGTCAGCAGCAATCACAAAGGGAGACCAGAAACTGTAACTTGGGTTTTGCTCATTTTTCTCATTTATTTTCAACTCATGGAACACAGCAACCAAACTGTTATTTCTCAAATTCACTCCCAATTATTTTTAAAGTCTCAATACACTTTTCAGTGAAATATCATACCCCACCATCAATCCCAATCCTAACTGTGGCTTCTACTTTTTATGTTGATAATAATGTAATTCAAATCATTCTCCCCTTTAGGCCTTCCAGCATTTATTTGGCAGGTAGTTCACAATTTTTGACTCAAGCAATCCAGGAATACCAAACCCCGCCTCCCCAAGATAAATTCCTGCTTTTTGCTGATCTTAGCTGGAACAATGCCAACGGTGCCACAGTCCAGGAGTCAAGAAGGGAAAACTATTTAGGTTTTCCATGCCTGGACACTGTCCAATGCTATCTCTGTTGACAAGTCCACAATAGGCTTGGCCAAGCTGCACCCAGCAATCAAATAGCCTGTGGGCATTTCTCATCAACTTGCACATTGGAGTGACCACACACGTTAGCTAACAGAAGGCAATAGGTGCTGGTTAAGCAAGAGAGGCAGCAGGAATGTCTTCAGTTGGGGGAATAGAATTAACAATGACAGCATAACTGCAAAAGGAGAACAGGTTTGGTGACTTTTCCAGTCTACTTTGCACACCGTTTCCAATTTCCAAACCTGGCACCATTTTTACAAATTTCAGAAGGGAGAGTGGCGACTGAGTTTGTAAAGGTCCTCACTGTAAAATGGTGGCTCTCTTTGTGAAGAAAGAATACTTGCAGCTTGGGTCAAACCAAGTGCAAGCTCATCTGTTAGCAGTCTGATTATTTCCTGTGCACTTCCTCTGTCTGTTGCACATTTTCATGAGGAACCCATTTCCTACAGTTGTTTTATCTGATACCTACTGTTAAGTGCAGCAGATCTGCAGAAGAAAATGGCAGCTTCAAAAAGCTCCACTGTTCTCTCTGTGGTTGCCCTGGGTTAATTTTAAACAATGAAAGCTTCACTTCATGTCACCTTTCTGTTTCTTTTTCCGACAGCTGCACTGAAACGCAAGTGCGCAAAACATATTTTCTTTTGCAGACCTTTTAAATGAGAAAACATTCCTCATCGGTCAAGATGTGTGAAAATAATGGATGCCGTAACTATTAAAAATAGATCGAGCCAAGGGGATGGTGGAATGGGAGGGTGGTTAAAGTGAAGGGGACACGGGTCTTTTCCTCCAGTGGCAGAGATCTCGTTGCTGGGGCAATGCAGATGTACCACCTATTCAAAGTGGAAGTCATCATAAACTCAGAAGATTAGAGAGAGACGGATGAATGGTGGGGAGTTTAACCTTGGCTGAGGGGTGAGGGTGAAAAGCAGGACTTTCATATTGACCTCAGCTGGGACACAAATTTAAACCTCATGGTTGGCATCTCTCTACATCGCAAACTAGCTATCAAGTCAAGTGATCTAACGAGCCTCCTCCCCATTTATTATAGCAGGACTAGCAGGTCAAATTATGACAATAAGTTTGCATCATATTTCCTTAAATACAGAGGGTGGAGAGTAATCTAAATGAGGTGCCTAAAACATTAAAATATTGACTGAGAAAAGATAAATAATGGAATAAAATTTTCCTACCAGAGGAAATAAAATGGGTGTACTCTTCAATTGTGAGCTAGGTCACATTGCAGGGTTTTAAAACAGGAGAAGCACTTTCACAAAAATTTGGAACTCTGCTCATCAAAAGGCTGCGGACTTTGGAATAATTGGAACTTTTAAGATTGTGATCAGTCAATTTTTGTCAGTTATGGGCATCAAGGAATAATCAGAGTAATGGAGTCAATGTACATGATTTAACCAAACATCAGAAGAGGTTCCAGGCTTGAATGGGTTACGCCCGTTGCTATAATTTCTAATTTGATTACTTCATAAAACAATTGCTGAAGTCACAACTGTCCTTGCTGAAAAGTTGCAAAACTCAAAAGGTACATCTCTTTTGAAGAATTAGGAATAGCTGGGCTTCCCTGGTGGCTCATCACGTTTGTCCAGTGATTAGTTAAGGGATACGGACCAAGAGAGTTCAAGGTATGCCACCTGATGATTTCACTCAGTCTGGTCACTACAATTTACCTCAGTCCCTTTGAAATTCTGAAGAAAAATATTATTGAAGCTTCTCATTTCTCACCGTTAATTAGAACTCCCGACAGAACTGATCAAACATGGAAGCTCAAGTGAGGACAGTGTCTTGAGTTTTCAGATTTCTTGTAGTAACACAGCTCAAACATTCATTACCAAGATGATTAATAGCTTCTACTACAGGCTACTGATGCACAATCAGCTCCTCATGGTTTTATTGTGGCAAAGAGCCAGTGAGAAGGGAGAACACTAATGTAGATGGAGTCATAGAGTCATACAACATGGAAACAGATCCTTCAGTCCAGCAAGTCAATACTGAGCGTGTTCCCAAAATAAATTAGTCCCACTTGCCTGCATTTGGTCCATATCCCCCCAAACCTTTCCTATTCATGAACTTATCCAAATGTCTTTTAAATGTTGTAATTGTACCTGCATCTAGAACTTCCTCTGGCAGTTCATTGTACACACTAACCATTCTATGTAAAAAAGTTCCACCTCACGTCCTTTTTAAATCTTTTTCCTCTCACTTTAAAAACACACCCCCTTGTTATGAAAGACTTTTGCTACTCATCTTATCTATGGTCCCCATGATTTTATAAACCACTATAAGGTCACCCCTCAACCTTCTCAGCTCCAGTGAAAAAAGTCCCAGCTTATTTTTATAACTGAAACGCTCCATTCCCAGCAACATCCTGGTAAATCTTTCCTGAACCCTCTCCAATTTAATAACAGCCTTCCTATAACTGGAACTGCACACAGTACTCTAGTTGGGGCCTCACCAACATCCTGTACAACCTCAACCTGACATCCCACCTCCTATACTCTAAGCAATGACGGCAAGCATGCTAAACATCTTCTTAACCATCCTGTCTACCTGTGACATAAATTTCAAAGAATTATGTACCTAAACCCCGAGGTCTCTCTGTTCTCCAACACTACCCAGGGACCTACCATTAACTGTACAAGTCCTGCCCTTATTTGTGTTACTAAAATGCAATACCTCTCATTTATCCAAACTAAACTCCATCTGTCACTCATTAGCCTAGTTGATCAAGATCTCTTTGTAATCTTTGATAACCTTCTTCAATGTCTACAATGCCACCAATTTTGGTGTCATCTGCAAACTTACTAACCATGCCTCCTATATTCTCATCCAAATTGTTTATATAAATGACAAACATAAACAGGCTCAGTACCGATCCCTGTGGCACACTGTTGGTCACCGGCCTCCAGTCCAAAACACCACACCCCACCACTTCCCTCGTCTCCTACCGTAAATCCAATCATGCATCCACATAGCAAGCTCACCCTGAATCCCATGTGATCTAATTTTACTAATTAGTCTACCATGCGGAACCTTATCAAAGGCTTTATTAAAGTCCGAGTAAACAACAACTACTGCTCTGCCCTCAATTTTTTTGGTTACTTCCTCAAAAAACTCAACCAAGTTTGTGAGAGACAATTTCTCTTGCACAAAGCCATGCTGACTATCCCTAATCATTCCATGCCTCTCCAAATGCATGTAAGTCCTATCTATCAGAATCACTTCCTTTCTTAAATAAAGGCACGTTAGCCTCCAATACCTCACCCCTAGCTATAGACGATACAAATGTTTCTGCAGGAGCCCCACAATTTCCTCCCTAGCTTCTCACAAAGTCCTGGGATACACTTGATCAGGTCCCGGAGATTTATCAACCTTTATGTTTTCTAAGACCTCCAGCATTTCCTCTTCTGTAATGTGAACAGTTTGCAAAACATCAATATGTATTTCCTCCTGAGTTCTCTAGCCTCCAATTATTTCTCCACAGTAAAAACTGACGTGAAATATTCATCTAATAATTCTCCCATCTCCTGAGGTTCAATGCAAAGACAACATTGTTGATCTTTAAGGGGCCCTACTCTCTCTCTAGTTGATAAGATGAAACAGCCATGAAGTTAAAAAAACAGTCAGAGCTAAAAATAAACAAAAATAAAAACAGTGAGTGCTGGAGAAACCCAGCAGGTCTGGCAGCATTTGTGGAGACAGAAACGAAGTTAACGTTTCAAGTCTGATGTGACTCATTTTCAGAAATGTGGATGCGTAGAAAAGTGTAGGGCAGAAAATACTTTTGCAAGGTAGTGTCTGCATAGTACTTCTATAGCAGAGGGATGTTTAAACCTTCGCAAACAGAAAATGCAACAGGTGGTAAAGTATTTTGTTGATTTACATCAGTCATTAAAAGAAAACCTTTCTGAAATGAAATGCATTTGAGATCAAGCCATTAAGAATAAACTGAAAGCACAGGAAATGTACATGTGGCTGTTAATTTAAAAAAATGGAGGATGGGGATTTCATTTTCAGTCTTCAGTGATTCACTCTGAACTTGAATGCGTAATATCTGGGAAAAATGGGCTCAAAAGCAGCAAACTGTAAGATTGCTAGAGTGACAGGGAGATAAAAATATCCCCTCAAATTAAAATGTACAGCCTGTGTGTCAAAATGAAGGAAATTTGGAGCACAAGTAATTCAGTAGTTTCTCATACCAGCTTTCTCTGTGCCCGATGCCACTGTTCTTTAATTTCTTTTCTGCGCTTTTCGTGATCCAGCCTTCTTCCAGCTAATGGCTATGTTAAAAAAAAAGACAAAGACAATTTCACAAATTCAGCACGAATACCTCTTGCACACATTGCTGATATAATACAATGTTATTGAGCTAAATTCCCTTCAAAGTTGGAACCCAAAGGATCTGCAAGTTCAGTGGGTAGGACTCAAACTTGCCAGGATTGTGCCCGGCTTTTCTCTTCTGCCATTTTCTGTGGGATGAAGATCAGCAGCTGGACCAGTGAAGCAGGAGTCAATGGTTAGAAATGGAACCAGTTGTGGAAGTGGATCATGGGTGAACATGATTGAAGAAGATGAGGAGGGTCTACAGAAGCCTGGGGCTGTTAAGGTCTCCTATTCCTTCACAAGATGGATTTTCTTAGCCTTCTCAGTCATCTTCTGGGTCTACTGCTACTCAACCAAGTACTTGACTTCTGTTGTTTGTGGCAAAGCCCAAACTAAGTGACAAATGCAGACATGAGATACAAATAGCACTGGGGTCTGAATGGCACCATGAGGCTATTGTATTCTAACATGATTCTTGCCTGTTCCAGACACGGCTCTTAATAATGTGTGTGGCACAACACTGGGAACATGTTGCTCACTGCTGAGGTGTGAACCCTGTTCTCATCTGATATGAAAAGGTATAAATTTGTTGACCTTTGGGTTTGGTCTGAGCTGACTGATCCAAAATCAGAAATTCATTTCTAACAGTAAATGATGAAATACACCCACAGCTGGGCTTCAAATACAACAGGTGAATGAATTTTGTTTCATACTGCTATGAGAGATCATATGAGCACAAGCTTAATAAGCTTCAAAATGACAGTAATGACTAGGTAGAAGCTGTCACAGGCTGATGAATACTGGGTACAAAGAAAGCCACTAATGTCAAGTCAAATACCCTTTCAATTAGAGCTCTTTGGCAAAAATTCAGATTGAAAGGCATTAGACCACAAGAACATAAAATACAGGAGCAGAATTGGGCCATTTCGCCCATCGGGTCTGCTCTGTCATTTGATCACGGTTGAGAGGTTTCTCAATCCCATTGTCCTGCCTTCTCTCCATAATCCTTGATTCTCTTATTAATCAAGAACCTCTCTCTCTCTCTGTGTCTTAAAATGCACTCAAAGATATGGCCTCCACAGCCCTCTGCGGCATTGAGTTCCGACAGATTAACCACCCTCTGGCTGAAGAAATTCCTCTTCAGTTCTCAGTCCTAAAGGGTCAGTCGTTTAGAAGTCATTTAATGCTGTGCAACAATTAACCCATTGTAATTTATGGATTCTTGTTCTGGAGTGGATCTGGTTACCTGGAGGAAGGTTTGGTTCTGAAGAATGTTAACTCCTTGTATCATGCTTTGTCCAAAATCCAGGTCCTGTTCCAGTGCCAGCGAGTAAATTGACAGAAAAGGCACATGATACTAAACAAACAAAGCACTGATGTTAAAATAGAAGTCTCAAAGAGGATATAGAGTGAAGCACCATGTCATAATGTAAGTTATATAAAATGTTCCATCATATGAATGAAAGCTATGGTTATAACACTGACTGGACTGATGCACTACTCATTGCCTCTGAAGTTTAAAATTAAGGTACTATGGGATAAATCCTATATCTTTTTATGCTTTCTTTAGTTTTGCTGCTTTTAGTACAATGGTGAGATACTGATCAGATTAGTTCAGCCAATTCTCTTAAATTCCTATAGTCTATGTGTTGTAGGTAGAAAGGAAGTTCTAGGACAAAGGAATCACCAAACATTTCCAAGACATGGTGAGGTACAATTTTGAGGGAATCTTGCAGCCAGTTTTTTCCCATATGTCTGCTGTCCTTGGAATTTGAAGTGGTAAAGGACATAGGTTTGAAAGGTCTCACTGAAGATACCTTGACAAGTTGGCATGATGCATCTTGTAGATGGTACACATTGCAGCAAGAATGCAGCAGTGGAGCAGGGAGTGAATGTTGAAGGTGGTGGATGGGTGCCAATCAAGCAAGCTGCTGTTTCCTGGATGATACTGAGATTCTCAAGTATTGATGAAGTTGCATTCTCCCAGGCAAACAGGGAGTATTCTTCCAAACCCCTGACCTGTGCCTTGTGGATGATGGAAAAACTGTGAACAGTCAGGAAGTGAGCTACTCGCCACAGAATTCCCAACCTCTAACCTGCTTGTGACCACAGTTTTTGCAATTCTCTCAAAATGGATTATCTCAGAAGCACAAGTCTCAATATAAATTGCTGGACTGCGGTATGAAGTGGATGTTTGTAGAGATACAACATAATGAGATTTGTACACTACCTACACATCATCACATACGGCTGCTGTAGGGGTACAAATCCAGAAGTAAATTGAATTATGATCTGCTTCTTTAGTGCACTTTAAAATTTAACAGTAAGCACTGTCCTACTTCCAATCCTGCTCTTATTCATTCATGTCCATTTCCTTACCTCTTGGGTAATAGTGTTTTTACACGTGTGGATCAGTTTTGTCAGCCCTTTGGCAAAATCCATTTCTGCAGAAAAATCATAAAGTGCTTCTGTCATAAACAAGGAAGTGTGTAATCACACAGCGTTTTATATATATTCGTTCACTTTATACTGATGATGTTTCTTATTAAATTCATTCACTCCTAAATACTATCCACACAAATACCTGGAGGGCACAATGAGGCAGTGGGGAAAGAGAAGAGCACTATCAGGCATCTACTGTAGGCTGGTTTGATCTCCTTCCGTTGACTAGGCCGAATAGCATAATCCCATTGTGGTTTCTACTTCAGTCCATCTACTACTGAAACACTCATCCATGTCAATGGCATCTCCATGTCAATCTAGTCCAACGTTCTGCTTACTCCCACTTCCTTCTTCCAGCCTCTGTAAACAATCAGCTCAAGAAACAATTTGCTTCCCATAATCTACTCAAAAATCAGTTCTTGTCAGCATATCACATTGGCTAAAATATTACATTCTCCACTCTGCATTTAAATCCCTCAGCGGCTTCACTATCACATTTCTGTTACTAAATGATGCATTGATGCAATGTTCCTACCACAAATTCTCTGATGCTCTGGCCTCATTTCTTCCTACCATTAGCAGCGAAGTGAACTGGGCCAAAAGATATCGGAAGCCTCTCTTCAATGCCTATTAATACATATAAATTCCACCTGTATTATACCTAAATTCCAACTCAATTGACTATGTTTTTTGTCACGTTCAATCCTAGTATCTTTTCCTCTGGCTTGACTTGGTGACATGTGTTTCTACCTTTAAGGTGCTATAGAAATGACAGCATTAGAAGCAATTATAATCTCTCTCCACAGCGAGAACTTCTGTACAATCCAGTATACTGGTTGCTCTAATACATAACTTGCCTTTGATCTCCGCTCACTGTTAAATCCAATTGTTTGGTCACCTGTAGATATTGACCAAGGTTGCAAGTGACTGGTAACTATTTTGATAAGAGTGACCAAAAACATCTTGCAATCTGGACTTTCCAAAACAGAAAGCACTACCCACAGGATGAGGTGTCCACATTGTTCTATGTCTCTTAGCCAGAATGTAACAATGACAAACCCAACATTCCCTCACCCAAAGCTGTTCTTTTCTCCAGGTAGGTGATCAGATCTTTCATGTACTTCGAAACGGTTTTGGCATATTGCAAAGCAGCTTCAACACCACCCTCAGATCTTTGAAGTATTATGTCCACTTCTTCTGCAGATAGACTGCCTAGAATCAGGAATAAACAGAAAGAAAGAGTGAGGAATAAAACACATTTGACTTATAGTGCTCCAGATAAAAGGATTCATTTTCTAATGGGTTTCATGTGGATTGCATGGACTCTTTGCTTTCTTAAAAGATTAGAGCCACTTTCGCAATGGTCAATGCTCAGGGAATGATCAGTTCCTACATGAAGTGGAGAGAACAAGGGATGGATTTATGTATCAGGTCTCTCCTCCAAATATTCTCTCCCAGAATTTCGATGGACAAGGCTTGGCCCATGTAGGACGCTGAAGTGGTCAACTCTCGTATTAAAATTCAGAAAGGCTGAGCTGAGACGATGAATTGCCGGTGGCCTGCCTCAGTTTGCTGTGTGTCAGATCGGGTGAAGTGAAGACCTGAAGGAGGGAAGCTCTGCTGCTGAACCGGGAGCTACAGATTTTGCAGGAACTGTTAGTGTGTAGTAAATTTAACCAGGCATCAGAGATCTTCATGGTGTCCTGGCTACTGCTTACCAGAAAGACCCAAAACCAGTGGGCAAATGTGCAGCTCAGAGTCCAACACTTAAACTCCTAACACAGCCTTGAGGTCCCAGTGTAAATGTCAAACAAGAGCCAAGTGCGTGTAGGGCCTGGGAGAAAGAGACTTAGTTGCAGCTCTAGACGTCCAGCAGCAACCAGTAAGGTGACAAATAAGAGGGGCAGAAAACCAAACCTCTTAATTATTTCCAAATGTCCATCACAGAACTGCCTCACGCAAGTTCCTACTTCTGATTTCTTGCAACAGTTTTGTTTCATAAGAGTCCATTGAGAGGATGGAAATCCATTTTCTAAACAGTTGGCTTCAACATCAGTGTACACTTTATAAATTGTTGCTTTCTGTTGGCTTCACTACACCCTGCCCAGTAATTACAAATGTTTAACCACTGTATTTCAACTACATTATGCACTGATGTAACACCTTGGATGTGGGATAATATCCCAAGGCAGTTCACACTGTGAAATCTGACACAGAGCCAAGAAAGGAAACAGTAGGACATGTGACCAAAGGTTCTTTTTGAACAGGTAGGTTTTAAAGAAGCATCTTAAAAGAGAGAGAGAGAAGAAGAATCACAGGGCTTTAGGGAGGGAATTACAGAGCTGGGGAAGTGAATTGTTTAGGCATTGGAGAAGAGGAGGAAATGGTGGTCAAGAAATCAGATTGGAATGAACAAAGAACAAAGAAAATTACAGCACAGGAACAGGCCCTTCGGCCCTCCAAGCCTGCGCCGATCCAGATCCTCCAGATCTAAACCTGTCACCTATTTTCCAAGGATCTGTATCCCTCTGCTCCCTGTCCATTCATGTATCTGTCTAGATACATCTTAAATGACGCTATCGTGCCCACCTCTACTACCTCCGCTGGCAACGTGTTCCAATCACCCACCACCCTCTGCGTAAAGAACTTTCCACGCATATCTCCCTTAAACTTTTCCCCTCTCACCTTGAAATTGTGACCCCTAGTAATTGAGTCCCCCACTCTGGGAAAAAGCTTCTTGCTATCCACCCTGTCCATACCTCTCGTGATTTTGTAGACCTCAATCAGGTACCCCCCTCAACCTCCGTCTTTCTAATGTAAATAGTCCTAATCTACTCAACCTCTCTTCATAGGATACAACGGACCTGAACACCCAGATCTCTTTGTGCATCAATTTTCCCCAGGGCTTTTCCATTTACCGTATAGTTCGCTCTTGAATTTGATCTTCCAAAATGCATCACCTCGCATTTGCCTGGATTGAACTCCATCTGCCATTTCTCCGCCCAACTCTCCAATCTATCTATATTCTGCTGCATTCTCCGACAGTCCCCTTCACTGTCTGCTACTCCACCAATCTTAGTGTCATCTGCAATCTTGCTAATCTGACCATCTATACCTTCCTCCAGATCACTTATGTATATCACAAACAACAGTGGTCCCAACACGGATCCCTGTGGAACACCACTGGTCACAGTTCTCCATTTTGAGAAACTCCCTTCCACTACAACTCTCTGTCTCCTGTTGCCCAGCCAGTTCTCTATCCATCTATCTGGACCCCATGCGACTTCACTTTCTCCATCAGCCTACCATGGGGAACATTATCAAATGCCTTACTGAAGAAGTCCATGCATATGACATCTACAGCCCTTCCCTCATCTATCAACTTTGTCACTTCCTCAAAGAATTCTATCAAGTTGGGAAGACATGACCTTCCCTGCACAAAACCATGCCGCCTATCACTAATAACACAGAAGAACACAGAATTCTTTGCAGATTAGAAAGCCAGAGGACATTCTAGCATTAGGGTTAGAGCAATAGGAGAGGAATACAACACCATGATAGAAGTTTTAATATTGAAGCCTCGGAATACTGGTAATATTTTAATGAATCTCCATTGCATCCTTGTACAGTCAATATCTCACTTTTAAAGTTGCAATACACAGAATAAGTACTCCATGGGGGAGGGGGGGGGTCTAAATAGGGCTTTGTGTGGTTAAAGCACAACCTTCTCTCCTTTCTAACTTAGCCCTCCTGTTGCAACGACAAACATCCAATCAGCATGCTTGATTTTTGTTTCCACTTAATAACTATATTTTAGTGATTGTGTACGCAGACCCCAAAACCTCTTTTAACTTCTATTGCTTCAAGTTAGAAAAGTGGAAGATCAGCAAAGGGGGCATTGGAACAGTCAAGTTAGAAGTTAATAAAGATAGCAATGAGGATTTCAAGAACAGATAGACTCATTTCTAGGTGAAGACAGGCAAGATGGCAAGAGATTGTATTATTGGTACACAGAATGCGAGATTGGGATCCACAGGGACACTGAAGGTTGGAGAAAGTGAATTCTGCCTGAACCAGTGACCAGTGATGGAATTGGTGCGAAAAGGAAATGACATTGTAATGGGGCACAGTCATCCCAATGTTCAACTGGAGATTTCAGCTCATCCCTGTTAGACAAGCAACCTGGCACGAGAGAGAGGTCAAGAGGGCTGGCAGTGTGTAGAGCTCAGTGTACATGTAGAATTTTGATATGTTTGTTGTCAGATGATGTTGTGGAGGGGTACTAGGGTTGCCCCAGTGGAGTATTTAGTTAATATGGTGTATTAATTTTGTTTTGAAAAGCTGTGTTTTTTAAAACAAGCAGTGGAGATTTGGCTTCTGGACAGGGAAAGGATCAGGGAGGGAAAGTTGGAAACTGGTGTTTGTCCAGCGCAGAGTTTGTGCAGAGTTACAATAAGACTCTTGTAAGTCTGTGAAAGTCTTTGCTGCCTCGTTCATTATGGATGTTGGTCTGTTAAACATACGTCACTTGTTACTTTGTGGCTTTCAGAAAAATGACTCTGTGTTTAGTCCATGCTGGCTAAAAGCCAAAGAGTATGTATTACCTGAATCACTGAACTCATCCTTGGCTTGTACCATATCACCTTGTACAGCAATTCCACCACAGAGATTCTCCATTGACTGAAAAAAAACACATCAGGAAATTAGACTTGTGCACAGATAAGTGAAGTGAGTAGTCAGGTAAAGTACCAAGGTGTACTTCCACCTCATCATCTTCGAATAACCATCTTCTGCAAATATGAATGAGCAAGTTGTAAGGCATCGAGCCTGACCTTTCAATCAGCCACAATATTCACAATAGAAAATACAAAACATTCCAGAATGGGATTTAGCCCAGTACTTTGTTAAGGTTCTGCTTGAATTCTAATTTACCCTCCTCAGTAAAACTGCATTGCTGCAAAAACATTAAAAATGTTGCATCTCCCATTCCCTGGAAGAAACTAACAAACAAAACCAATGGCAGTGGAATTTTAATTTCTGGTTTGCTTTTGTTGAAAGTCAACATTTTTGAATTCTGACAGACAGCAACTATTTGCGTTCATTACCAATAGTGATGCTTAAGCCACATATAGATCAGATTTTTTGTATCACTACTGTGCAAAGAAAAATCTAAAAAAAAACTACCCTGGAGAAGTGATTCAACAGAAGAGCATTATGTCCAGCTCAAATGGAATAACATGTTGCTATTGCAGGCAACTTAAGCTGCAAAACTCTTCGGCTCCTTGAATTAATCTTTTGTTGATGGTGATGCAAAATGCTTCATGCTTCTATTTTCAGTTCAAGCTAATTTAGTTTTTGAGTTCTAAGTTTCATTCTTATTTGAACCTCAAACTGCTCAGCCAAGTCTCTTCTAATGAAGGTTCCCACCAAATTGTGTATTATTCTCTATCTCAGATATTGGTTGAACTGCTGCCTTTTCCATCGTTTTCAGATTTCCAGCATTTGCAGTTTTCCTTATTGCAATACGAGATAAAACTGGTTGAGTTCGGAGTTAAGGTTGGGTTAGGTGGGTTAGACATGGGAAATGCAGGGGTAGGGGAATGGGACTGGGTGGGATGGTCTTTGGTGGGCAGTGTGGACTTGTTGGGCTAAATAGCCTGTTTCCACACTGTAGGGATTCTATGATTCTATGAAATGCACCCACAGGCATGCAGAGATATATGCGTTGTGTTGACATAGACTTACCCAGACCACACTCAGAGAAACACACAATGAGACACACATACTGATACTCTCACTCACTCACACACATAAATATATATGTGCATAAATATACACCCCTCATAAATCTGCTGGAAAATTCAGAAAAGCTCCCCTGGGTTAGAGCTATTTTTAGGCTAAAAAGCAGTCAGATATTAGTGAATACTTAGTATATTTTGAGCATGCATCTTGTATCTTGCAGTACATGTGTTAATTTCCTCTCCCACTGTCTCTTTCACCTGTCTTGATGAACTCTACAGAACTACAAGATTATACCTTTATGGCTGTTGGTAATGATCTGCCACTGATACCATCTTTAGTGGAGCTTTTGGGGGCTGGTTCAGTTGGAATATCAAAGTGAACTCAAGTCATGGGGATGAAGTGTGGCAAAACAAACAAAAACAAAATAAAAATATACTGTAGCCAAAAAAGCCTTTCATAAAAATTGCACAGCCAATTTTTCACTGAGAAAAGAAATAGCACTTAAATTTTTATTGCAATGTGTGGGCTATTTTCACCCTGCTGGATGTATTTGTATAATACAGTGCTTTGAAGCTATACAAGATGGTTAAGAACAATATTAATACCAACAGGAAGCAGACGGGAGGCATTTTGAATTTTTCATGCAACAAGTACATTCTCCATCCTAATTACATACCTCAACACACATTCACCCAGGTACACGACAATATACTGCAAACATACTAGTATCTATCACTGACGACACCTTGTGAATTCAAAATTTCCTCACCTTAGGGAGCAGTAAGAGGGGTCATCCTGAGGTTAAAAGAATTTCTCTGTACCCGAGCTACACACGTCTTTGACAGTGACCAGAGTGTCTGCGGAATTCACTGAGTTCGAATTATTCTCAGTCTCCGAATTAAGGTTGAAGAGATGACCACAAAAAAAAAGTCACCTGCTCCTAATCTCTATCCAGTGACAGTACAATGTGCAAGTCTGCAATCATCCTCTGTCCCTACAGAAGACAAGAGATACTTGGAGGAGCTGCATCCTCAGAAGGGATATGCGCTCTGAGAGGAGAAAAAGGGGAAAAAAAAACTAAACGAAGCAGCAAGGGTGTTACCATCTTTGTAACAACATTAAATGCTTGGAGAACATTTTGACCAAATCAGACTGTAGTTGACTCGATGTCGCTGTAGTTTGAAGAATGTGAAAGGACACCTTGTGCTTGAACTGTAAGTTAAGTGCAGCAATGGAGTTGCATTATTTCATTATTGCATTATTTCCTCAGCTAAAAATGATGGCTCACTAATGACAGTATTAACTTCTTAAGACAAAAAGTTTATTTCATTTCTACCTTAGTGGAAACATTCAGACTCTTTGGAAATTTGACGGGATACACCCAACTCCAGAAGGTCAGGAAAATCAAACAAAATGAGAAAATATTTTTGGCAGGGCTGGACAACAATTGATGCGATGTGATCATGTTGTCACCACTAGAATGCTTCAATTCACAGGGCTACTGCTATCAGCACGATTTCTTTCAGAAACATTCATGTCAAACCCATCCTATTTCATGGTGTCAACCATGTGACACTGCCTTTCATGTTTGTAGGCAGGAAACAAAACTACAGCAACATCTCTGTTCACCGACTGTTGCTGAAACGGTGTCTGTAGTGAGGGCCTTCACCTCACTATTTAAGAATAAACTTGTGACAAGTGCAACTGCGGCTTTACTGCCAGGGTAACCTCGCAGGGAAAGGAGTTAGGAGTCAGAAGACACCCAAAGGTCTCAAATTTTTTTTTATATTTCCTGGCAAGGCCAAGATGAACAAAAATGTTACTCCCAAAGTTTTACTCTTCTGTGCCTCTACTCCAGCAAGTCATTTCCCCTTCCCCACCACACCCCTCCATCCCCTTCCCTGCCTGCTTGCTCAAGTGATGAAGATTGTTTCCCAGTGACAGTGTGCTACACTTTACATTGTTCTGCTGTCTATAAGAAAGGGCGAAATAGGAGCAAGGGCAGCAAAAGGCCATTCAGCCCACTGCACCTGCTTTGCCAATCAATAAGATCAGGATTGATCTATTTGAAGTCGTAACTTCACTTTCCAGCCTGCTGCCCTTGCAGCTCCACCCTCAAATAAACATTTTACTCCCTTGTCAAATTGAAAGAGTTACAGTGGAAAAACCCACTGCAGGAGCCATGCAAGTGAGGCCCAGTATTCCCACATCTCAGATGCCACTCTGTTAAAATTAGAGCTATATTTCAGCTCCCAATCCAAATGGCTCATTTACAGGCATGTGCCACTTTAAAGGTAATGTAACCAATTTGCTATCCTCAGCTGATCTATAATCAGTGCTTCTGAAAGGCCATTTACACTGTATGTGAAAATTCACTTATGCAGTGACGACAATGCTAATCTTGTTAACAAGAACTTGTGCAGCACCTTTAACATAGTAAAAGCACCCAAAGATGCTTTATAGAAGCATAATCACAAAAACAATGTTAAATAACAGAAGGACCGCTTTGCAGAACACCTACGCTCGGTTCGCACTAAACAACTGCACCTCCCAGTCACGAACCATTTCAACTCCCCCTCCCATTCCGCAGACGACATGTCCATCCTGGGCCTCCTGCAGTGCCACAAACATGTTACCCGAAGGTTGCAGGAACAGCAACTCATATTCTGCTTGGGATTCCCTGCACCCCAATGGTATCAATGTGGACTTCACAAGCTTCAAAATCTCCCCTCCCCCTACCGCATCCCAAAACCAGCCCAGCTTGTCCCCGCCTCCCTAACCTGTCCTTCCTCCCACCTCAAGCCCCACCCCCATCTCCTACCTACTAACCTCATCCTGCCCCCTTGACCTGTCCGTCCTCCCTGGACTGACCTATCTCCTCCCTAACTCCCCACCTACACTCACCTTTACTGGCTCCATCCCCGCCTCTTTGACTGGTCTGTCTCCTCTCCACCTATCTTCTCCTCTATCCACCTTCTATCCGCCTCCCACTCTCTCCCTATTTATTTCAGAACCCCCTTCCCCTCCCCCATTTCTGAAGAAGGGTCTAGGCCCGAAACGTCAGCCTTCCTGCTCCTCTGATGCTGCTTGGTCATCCAGCTCTACACCTTGTTATCTCAGAAGGAGATACGAAGTGGGTGATGAAAATTTCAAAGAGGTTTATTTTAAGAATGGGCTTAAAAGAAAAGGGGAGTTTAAGGACAACTCCAGAGGGTGAATTTGTTGGCTGAAAGTGCAATTAACAAATGGAGGGGTGTTTCAGAGACCAGTGACAGAAGGCTGGGATAGAGGGGTCTATGGAAATAGGGATAAGGAGGCCATGGAGAGACACTCCATCTTGCAAATTGAATATTCAGTTATAAATGGTATGAAATTGTTCTTTTTAATCATAATTCTGAACAGAAACCTCCACCACTTAATTCTGGATGTTATCTTGGGTGGTTAAGAGGATTTACATTGAGGTTGTATAAACATTTGAAAGGAATCCTGCAGTGATGAACATACCTCAGGTTCAATATTGCCATAGCAATTTAATTGGGACCTAGTTTAGTTTCCAACCTGAAGATTGCTTTACAATAATTAACTGTATAAAGCAAGACAAAATTTAATTTTGTCTCCAAAATGTATAAGCACAATACAAAAAAGGTAAGCCATTTTGTAGAAGAATGGATTCTGTTTGTGGAACATGACCTCACATTGACCCAGACATTCCCAGATAAATCCGGTTGTTATTTAATTGCTTCATAGACATTAAAAAATTTTGCACAGAAACACTAGGAAGTCACTCAGCTTGAAAACTGAAGACAATGCATCAAGAATAAATCCCTCTAATGTACAACATCTGGAAATAAAAATCTTGCGAGTAAAGACCTTTGACTGACGCTCAATGCCATCTTCAGAGAGGTCATTTACAATTCTGGGGATTCAAAACTCTTGAGCAGAAATAATGGTCAGAATTTACAAAGCTTGACCAGAAGTGAATTGATAAAGATTAGACAAACAGCCTTTCACAAGTGGTTACTGCACACAGGCAAAGAGATCTTTGCAGCACATTGACTCATTCCATGAACTCACCCTGCATTTATCTGTTGGTGGTAATGATAACAGAGTACTGCTGTCCACCTCTCCCATGAGGAATTCAGAGACACTGCCAAAGAGGAAACAGTGATTAAGGCAACCAATAAAACGCAACCTTTACGTTTCTATTTGCATAGTTTAAAAAAGTTATCCTCCTACATAGTTAGATTTACTTCCCTTCACCAATGCTCTTGCCAGAAGATCAACTGGATATTTACTCCTGGATACTGCCTTATGACTAGTTAGCAAGGTATCCACAAGAACAGTTCGGGTTGACTCGCTCTCTGAATCTTTTCTCCCTGCAGTGTGGGATTTGCCTTTACTAAGCACCTTCTCCACCCGCCATCCCTCAGCCCTCCAGGGAAGTTGGGGATGTTTCTTCAGTAGGGACTCAAAAATCAATATTTCACCGTCATGCTGTAGGGTCCCTCGGATTCCATGTTAAAACACATCATTGCCTTCAAAGCTAAGGCTACAAGCGAGCACAGCAGGCGAGTACAGTACTTACTACAGCAGACCCACTTACAACAGTAATAATATGTCACAGACTACTCTCATTGTCCAAATTGTCCATATGCTAACACTTCATTGGTGAGCCATCCAAACCAAGACGTTCAGTCCTGTTCTCCTGTCTGTACTGAGTTAAGTGGTTTCCTCGACAAACAAAGGGTATGGTAATTGGCTTCAGCACTTCTTGGATATGAAAGGAGTAAAAAAAAATTTCAAAGGTTTCCAATCTCTGGGGTGAGGGAGAGACGATGCAATCATGTAAAGTGGGCAATGGAGTAGCAGTAGCCACTTCTGCGCATTTTTAAATTAATTGACACACCTTACACTATTAATATTGCAAAGAATAAATGGCACTCAAGTGTTACATACTGGCCTCTATTGGAATTGTTTGGGTATAGACAATAAGCAGGGACAGAAATAGCAATGATGTTTTACACAATGGCATAGTTGCTCAAGATGATGCACTAAATCTCTAGAACTGCCTCCATGGCCAAATATTTTATTACACTTAATTAAATTCCAGTCATTTATATCATTCCCCTCATTTGAATTTTGAAAGGTAACTCACAGCAAAAGGGCCATTAAAAGTCCAAGGT